CTAGTCCAAGGTCACACAGCAGGAAGCATGGAGCCCGGAGTCTAACCCAGGCCTTTCTGGCCCCAAAGCCTGTGCCCCTAACTGCCTTCCAACACTAGACTTAGCAGACAGGAGTGACTGGCTTGTTTTTCCTTTGGGTTCACATGCATTACCACTGTGGGCTTCAGTCCCAACCCCTCCACCCCACTCCCTACCCTGCCTCCACAGGCTCCCATCCTAATGCATTTCATACCCACCCCAAGTCAATTGCTTACATGGGGTCTCCCCAGCCTAACCAGCAGGGCCGCCATCTCTGCAGCCCACCTGCCAGTGTTTGTTGAATGAAGATCTGATTGAGTGAACAGACAGAAGACTACTGTCTTCAGCCCCTTCTCTCTTGCCCCTCAGAACCCCCCTCTTCAGGCCCTTAGCCTAGTCGCTGCTGGCCCTCCCTCACCCCACCCCACACGGCTGCTTGTTTTTGATCTCTCTTCCTCTGGAGAGCACCTCTGCTCTGCCCAGAGACTTCCCATCCACATCCCAGGCCTGTGGCAGCATTAGCAAGTTGAAAACCCAATTACATTTCAATTACTCTAGTCCTAGCCAGACAGGGGTTACTGTAAGTCACACTGGAATTGGAAGGGAGAGGAGATAGTACCTGGTGCCAGTGCCGGGGCTGACACTCAAAGATGGATGTGACAGGGATCTATGGCTCAGAGGCTCAGGATTAGATCAACATGAGGTCATGTGGCCACCGGGTGACAGGCAGCTCTGGCAAACCTCCCTAGGTGGAGGAGGTGCTGGCCTGGGGATGGAGGACATGAGGTTCCTGGGTCCCTCCATGGACATGGCACCCTGCCAGGAGCTCCCAGAGGCCGGTGCTGTTGGGCCCAAGAACCAAAACACTCCAGCTCCTGGTGGGCCTTCCATAGCATCAATGCCCGCCGCCTGGGGCTCCAGATCTTCTCTGAGCGTACATCTGGGCTCTCTCCCTCATGCCATCTAGGCCAAATACCTGGCCTATTTTACTCTCAGGCCATGGCCGAGGGAGCCAGGCTCCGGACCAGGGGGACCTGGGGACATAGAGCCTCCAGTCTAGCCGGGGTCTGACAGAGGAGAAAGAAAGATCTGCTGCCTTGGGGTAGAAGGAATCGTTCATGATCTTTGTCCTGGGGAGCACCATCTCTGGGCGCCAAGGGGTGAAGAAAGGGTTTGGCAAGGAGGTTCCCTCTTAAGGAGAGATAGGACTGGTTCTGTAAAAGTGGATATTGTGGGTGAGAGGGTGGATTCTCAGCCATGACTCCTTCCCCACACAGACATAGGCACCCCCTGTATATAGATCTGGGGGAACCTGGGGACCCCCTTGCTCACCCGAGCCCAGGGAGCACAAATTGTAAGGCTCCGAACCATGGGCTGGGTTCCAAGCCTGGGCTGTGCTGGGCTCAGCTGGCGTCCTCCGCCCACGCAGATACACATGGTGTGCACCTTTCACGTCACAGCTGCACCTCGGGTGCTGCAGTTGGTCGTTTGAGTGTTCTGCACCATCTGCCTCCCATCCCCCATGCCCTGCACCCCCCTCCCCACCCCCTACACAGCAAACAGTTGGAGTAGCTCTTGATGGGGGCGGTAATGTGGGGAGGTTAGATGAGTCATCTCTGTGGGGGCAGAAACACAAAGCCCACACACGCACACTCACAGAGCTGTGGACACAAAGGCAGGCCCACATTCCCATTCCCGCTCTCACGGTGAACACATGGGGGGCCAATGTTCATCAAAGCCGCAAACGCATATCCAGACCCACAGAGGCAGACGCCCACACACACACACCTACACACACACACGCCTACACACACACACGCCTACACACACACACGCCACACACACACACACACACACACACTCCCCATCGATACAAATACCTATACACCAATACACACAGGCGCCTGTCTAGACACATCCCACACAGGCTGACTCCTCAGTCATCAACCCAGAACCTGTCCCCTACCCCCATGCACCCTCAGAGGCACAAACACACACACGAGACTCTCCCAGACACACACTCACAGCCCTTATTTAAACACAGGCACTCACACATGTATGCGCAAGTGTGGGGACAGGTGGATGCGCGCGCGCACACACACACACGCCCCTCCCAACCATTCCTTTCTTGTATCGCCTCATCCATTCCCTACCTCTGCCAGCTCACAGGGCAGGCAGGACAGAGCTTTGCAACCAGAGGGACGTTATGACACATCACCCGCCGTGTGGGCACCATGCCTGCCGGAGAGTTGGCCTTAGGGTTACCTTTGCTCCTCCTTTCTGCTCTGGGGAGGTGAAGGTTAGGTTATAGGACCTTTCCTGTGATGCCCAGGCTCTCCTCCCACTCACTCTGCCTAACAGCACGGCTGCAGAGCCTTTGAAAGGGGGCTGTGGCTGCAACAGGGAAGGTAGAGGTTACATCTCAGGCATCACCTCCCGGGAGGGCAGAGTGAGTCTCTGAACAGGAGGGAGGAAGGTGGGTCTGATGTGATAGGCAGGTCCTGTCTTGAGGCACCTTTGCACCTGCTGTTTGCTCCACCTTGAATTCTCTCTGCCGTTACCACAATCCCCTTGCAGGGCTCTCTCCTCATTCTTCCTGTCTGCGTGTGCAGGCTCCTGTTCTAGGAAGCCTGTCCTGATACCCTGGCTGGCTCAATCTGTCCTTCTGTGTCCCATGGCCGCCCCAGGCTCCCTCACAGCTCTCCTCACCCCATAGAGGACTTGCCAGGCAGTGAGCCTCTCCGCCTCCCACAGCCTGGGCACCTCTATCTGTCCTGGGGAGAAGCACAGGCTTCAATCCCAGCTGTGCCTCTGCCCTGGGACCTTGGGCAAGTCACTGAAACATGTGAGTGCAGTGTTCTCATCAGGAAAATGGGGACAATAACAACGACCTCACCAGACTGATTAAATGAGATCATGCATGGCCAGGACTATACAAATGGCAGCTGTATTATTGTAACTCATTGCCCCGGCGTACTGCTTAGTAAATGTTTGCTAAAGCAACCAGCCCCTCTGACTCCACACTTCCTACCCCCACCCACCATCTCTGTCTTAGGAGGGGGGAACTTAGGTATAAACAAAAAGGATTGCGGGGGGGGGGGACAGATAGAATGGGGGCTGGGAATGGGCGCATGGCCTCTGGCATCGCTGGAGGCTAGCAGCTCCAGACGCAGCCAAAGCTTGGCCGGAGGCGGTGCAGGCGTCCTCTCTTCACCCCTATGACCCACCTGTGCCATCCTCCTCCTCAGCTAGGTGAGACAGCGAGGAGGGGTGCAGATGGGACCCCCTCTGCACTGTGACTCCCCGAAGCTGACCCGGCAGGGCCCGCCGGCACACAGTAGGTGCACTCTGGATGCGGCGTGGCAGAGGCAGAAATGTTGAATGACTGCGAAAGGTATGAATGAACGGATGGACGCATGAATGGAAGTGGGATGGGAGCGTGAAGTGGGCGGCAAGGAGGGATGAGCATCTCCCTCCGCCCTCCGGGCCTCGGGTCTCGAAGCCGGGAGACTTGAAGAGAAGACTGGCTGGGGGGCTCCCCTCTCCGCCCTGCCCCTCCCGCCAGGGCCACCCCTCCCGGCGGCGCGCAGCCCAGCGGATCCCGCGCCAGCCACAGCCCGCTTTGGAGCCAGAGCACCCTCAGGAGCCCGGCCTTCGGGGCAGGGAGACGAAGTCCCCGGTTTGCGGTCCGGGGAATCAGCAACCGAGGACGCCGGCGCCCCGGACCAACAGGTGCGGGCCGTGGGGGACCCCAGGCTCAGGGTGGGGGTTCCAAACGACCCTCGGCGAGAGCCAAGAGTCTCGGGGGATAATCTGGGTCCTGGGAAGCTGAGTCCCTAGGATGCTTTCCTTCTGGCAGGCTCTTGCAAAACCCCTAAAGGGCTGGCTCCCCCCTACCCGCGCCCCGCCCCGCCCCGCCCCACCGCCCCTCACAGCTCCCGAGGTGCAGGGAGGTCCCGCTCAGGGAGTGGGTCCGCCGACGCTCCGTGGGTCTGAAGGAGCCCCCTCCCCGTTTCCCGGGGGTCTCCAGAGCCGGGCAACCCTCCCACACAAGTCCGGGGTCTTCCCTGCCCAGCTGGGGAGAAGGAGGGGTCTGAGCCAGAGAGGAGGGGCGGGGAGTGAGGCCGGGTTTGTGAATGGAGGGAGCGCCCCGAGCGTCGGCTGCCAGCGACCCCTGGCGGCCTTCCGGGCGCAGGGAGGCCGGGGGTTTCAAGAGGCGCTAGCTAGGGGCGGGGGCTGGGCGCCCCGGCCGTTGGGCCTGGGACTGTCTCCCCACTTCCAGAGAGGTTGTCAGTCTCTCCCCGCACCCTTCTCCCGCCGCGCGCGCGCGCGCGCGCGTGTGTGTGGTGTGTCCCCACCGGGGAGGGTCTGGCAGGTCTGGTGGGCGGGTCTGCGTCTCTAAAGCCTCTCTTGATCTTTTTTCCAACCAAAAATTCAGGCCTGTGAATTGATTCAGGGGAGAGTATTTGCAATCGGATGGCTTCCCCTCTCCTGGCACAGTAGCTTTGTGACCTTGAGCTAGAGACTCAACCTCTCTGAGTTTCCATGCCTCCTCCGCAAAGCAGGGTTCCCCGATGCTGAGTGGGGGAGCCAGCTTCCCGCGCCAGTTTCTGGGTAAAGCACTAGGCATGCCTTAGAGCCCATTACTCCCCGCTGCGGTCCTGCGAGGTAGGTACGGTCGTTACTCCATTGAGTAGATGGGGAAACTAAGGCACAACAGGGCGAAGTTGTCCCTCTCCGCCTTAACCCACAGCACAGCACTATGAGAATTAAGAGGGAGTTCACTGGAAATTGCCTGGCACACTCCCTAATGTTTCCTTGTTTCCTCGCTCCCTCCCTTCCTCAGGAGTTTTGGGGCTGGCACTCCAAGAGACCTGGGCGCAGGGCTCCGGGCTCCCCGAGGGAAGTGGGCTGAGGCCCGGCCCGGCTCTCTCCCTCCGCGGAGCCCAGGATGCCTCTGGGCCTTAGCGGCTCCTGAGCTCATGGAGCCCTTGGCCACTGCAGGGACCCAGGCGGGGGTCCCCCATGGCAGCGGGGACCCGTCCCCGGTGCCTCCCGACTACGAAGACGAGTTTCTCCGCTATTTGTGGCGCGATTATCTGTATCCGAAGCAATACGAGTGGGTCCTCATCGCAGCCTACGTGGCTGTGTTCCTCGTGGCTTTGGTGGGCAACACGCTGGGTAGGTTCCTGTGTCCCCCGGTGCTGGGGGACTCCCCTGGGGACTGGCAGGGGTCCTGGGCCTTTCCCCAGCCTCAACCTCTGGGCGCTGGGTAATGTGGGGCGGGGCTCACTGCTGGGGAGCATGGCTTCCCCTCATCCCTGCCGCTCTGCAGTCTGTCTGGCCGTGTGGAGGAACCACCACATGAGGACCGTCACCAACTACTTCATCGTCAACCTGTCTCTGGCAGACGTGCTGGTGACAGCCATCTGCCTGCCAGCCAGCCTGCTGGTGGACATCACCGAGTCCTGGCTCTTTGGCCATGCCCTCTGCAAGGTCATCCCCTATCTACAGGTGAGCTCTGCCCAGCGTCCCTCATCACCGTGCTGTCACATCAAGTACAGAAACCGTGGCCTTACCTAAGTCTCAGTGACCCTCAGCCTTGCCTTTCAGACAGGACACGGTGGCTCAGTCAGTACTTGTGTGGTGTCCTCTACTGTCAGCAAGGGCAGGCTATCAAGCCCTCCGCCGGAGGCCACAGACACAGCCCCACATACTCACATAGAGGTCCCACCAGTCACTCGCACAGACTGACAGCCATGTGTGCGCACATGCACAGTCACCTCCGGGTACACGGCACAGGGTGGAGGAGAGAGGCGCAAGCCCACAGCGACAGACACGAATGCACGCTGGGCCTGCTTCCTGATCCCACGGGGGTAGATGCGAGAGGCCCTGCGGGAAAGCCTCCTCCCCTGCCCGCACCCCTTGCCGGGACCTTCCGTCCTCCTGTTGGGAATCAGGATGGTCGGACTGGGTTGCGGTCCGGGTGGAAAGAGGCCTGAATGTCCCCTCAGCTGCCCCCCTGAGCCTTCTCCCTGTAACCCAGAGGGCGGGCTCTCCTGGAGGCAGCGCTCACCTCAGGCCTCAGCTCTTGTTTGCCTCCCGGAAGGAGGACCGTTCCCTAACAGCCTGGGGGAGGGATGGCTTCCCGGGGCAGGGAGAAATGCTTCCTGAAGCTCCCACTGTTTTGAGGTTTTCCACTCAACTGATTAACTCTAGCAACCTGAGAATAAAGACAGGCAGGGGAGGAAAATCACCCCCAGAGAGGTATTGAACCTTTCTGTGCCTCAGTTTCCTCATCTGTAACATGTCCCCGCCTCCTGCCGCTGAGGTGAGGATAATGAGAGCAGAGCAGGGCACGTAAGTAAGTTCTGTAAGTGTAAGCTTATCATTCACCGCAGGGAACACCTACTCGGTGCTGGGTCTCAAGCTAGACATTTTCTCTCCATGGCTGCATTTATTTTCATGAGAATCCTCCCAGGTGAATGGTATATTCCCACTCCACAGGTGAGGCCGAGAGGGGGAGTGATTTGCCCAAATCTACACAGCCAGTAAGTGCAGTCAGGATGTGCACTGCACCTGGCTGTCTGGCATCCCTGGGCTGAGAGCCCCCTCCCTCACTCCACGTCTCTGGGTGGCCCCCAAAGGACTGACAGGGTGTCTCCACGGGGCAGGCCGTGTCTGTGTCAGTGGCGGTGCTAACTCTCAGCTTCATCGCCCTGGACCGCTGGTATGCCATCTGCCACCCACTGCTGTTCAAGAGCACCGCCCGGCGTGCCCGTGGCTCCATCCTGGGGATCTGGGCTGTGTCGCTGGCTGTCATGGTGCCCCAGGCTGCTGTCATGGAATGCAGCAGCGTGCTGCCTGAGCTGGCCAACCGCACCCGGCTCTTCTCTGTCTGCGACGAACACTGGGCAGGTAATGGCAGTAACCTTGGTCAGGCACTCCTGAAGTGGGCACATCTGGGGCACAGTCCCCTTGGGCAGGCATCTGTCAGGACACCCAGGGGGAGGATCTCCTAAGAGGGCACTTCAGAGAGGGTATCTACAGAGGATACCTTCAGGGTGGATACCTCCTCTAGTATAGGCATCTGCTAGGGGTCCCTCAGGAGGGACACCTGCAGACTGGGCAGCCCCAGGGTCTCTGTGCCATGGTGCTGGTGTGGGGCCCAGCTGCTTGCTTTGGCCCTACCTGCAGCCAGGTGGCATCGCTAAGCAGGACAGGCTGGGGCCCAACCTTTGCGTCTCTTGGCCCCTGCAGATGACCTCTATCCCAAGATTTACCACAGTTGCTTCTTCATTGTCACCTACCTGGCCCCGCTGGGTCTCATGGCCATGGCATATTTCCAGATCTTCCGCAAGCTCTGGGGTCGCCAGGTGAGGCCCACTCTGGTGTCACTGTCTGGGCTGGGAGGGGATAGTGTGCTGGCCTAAGAGAGTAGACAGCCCTCTGCCTTCACAACATGCCATCCTGGCTGCAACCAGGGAGAGGCAAGGCCCAGGGACTTTCTAAAGTACTAGAGCCATCCCCAGAACTGAATAGTATCAATAGCTGCCATTGATTATACCACGCACTTCCAGCTAGTGTTGCATCCTCTTAGCCACCATATATTATCCCCAACTTGATATATGAGCAAACAGGCTCAGAGAGGAAAAGCAACTTCCCCAAACCCCTCAGCCAGGGAAGGGAAGGTCAGGGACTCAAACGCTGATTGGTGGGATCCAGTGCTCAGTTCCGTGCCACAGCAACAATGGCGCCTCCATGTTGCTTGCCAAATCATACACTTTGCTCACACTGTTTTCACGACTATCTAACCAAAGCAGCAATGTGGCCCACTTTACAGACACTGAGTAATGGCAACCAACTTGCCACAGCCAGTGAGTGGCAGAGACTTTCTCGTTCCAGGGCCTGCCTTCTTTGCTCTGTTACAAACTGACCCACAGTAGGTGTTGTGGGATGTTTTGTGGGGGCGGGGGGGGGGGGGGGGTGCTCAGAGGTCCTTCCAGGAAATCTGTGGCTGTTCCAGGAGCCTGGACCCTGGAGGGCGCTCTGAGGCTCAGGCCATTCCACGCTGTTCACGGGCTCACCCCTTGCCGAGGCTTCCCCGCAGGCAGGCCTGGGCAAGGCGGAGGCACATCTCACCTCCACCCCACCCCCATAGATGGAGATGGTGATCTGAGGAGATTGGATGGGCGCTGGGAGGATGTTGCCAAGGGTCCCCTGCCTCGCTGAGTTTCAGTTGCCAATGATACCTTCCCCAAAGGCACGTTGGGGGTGGTCTCACAATGAGCTAATGGAAAATGAAGGTAGGTTGTTCATCCTCAGTGCAGAGTGTTGGTCTCTATCATGACTATTAGGTTCTTTTCTATCGCAAAAGTTTGTTCCCTTCGCCCACCTCCCGAAGCACCCCTCCCACCACCGCTGTCTCTGTGTGTGCTGGACAGATCCCCGGCACCACGTCGGCCCTGGTGAGGAACTGGAAGCGGCCCTCAGACCAGCCAGAGGAGCAGGGGCAAGGCCCGGGTGCAGAGCCCCCGCCTCGGGCCCGCGCCTTCCTGGCTGAGGTGAAGCAGATGCGCGCTCGGAGGAAGACAGCCAAGATGCTGATGGTGGTGCTGCTGGTCTTTGCCCTCTGCTACCTGCCCATCAGTGTCCTCAACGTTCTTAAGAGGTGAGAGCACTCGGGGAGAGGTCAGGGGTGAGGGGGCCGTGTGCGGTCAGAGGAAGGAGCTCTCTCGCCTTTGGAGAAAGACCTGGCTCCACCCCAAGGCAGGTCATTTCTCTTCTCTGAGCCTCAGTCCCCTCATCTGCACATGTGAATATTAACAGGCCTGGCCTCCTAGGGCTACTGTGAAAATTCTTTCATCCAGTCACAGTTGTCAGATGGGTGGGCTGGGAACACAGAACAGTGCACAAGGCAGAGTCCCTGCCTTCGTGGAGGCTACATCCACTGGGAGAGAGAAATAAACATACATCATAATGCCAGGCAGTGGTAATTGCTATGAAGAAAAATAAAATAGAGAAAGTGGATAGACAATGACAGTGATGGGGTGATGGGTTTTTTAAAAAATCTTTTTAAAAAATATATAATGGGTTAAAAAAAAAGGCCTCTCTGAGGAAGCGACATTTGGCAGAGACCTGAAGGGAGGGACCAAGCCCGCGGGAGGAGCCCCACACTAAGTGGGAGGAGCGCAGGGGCTTGGCAAGCGAGAGGCCACGGGGTGCCAGGAAAGGCCACGGGCTATTTGACATAAGCAATCTCAGCAGGAGTTTGTACTTGGCCACTTCCTGGCTGAGTGATCTTGGGCTTGTCATTTGACTTCTCTGAACCTTAGTCTTCCTGTTTGAAAACAGATGGTGTCTGTGCTCATCACGTTGCTGTGAGGATGGATGAGAGTAGGGATGGGGAGGCTCCAGGGATCAGATGGCCGGGGACTGCGCTGATGTGCCCTCGTGCCTGTCCCTAGGCCCACTCTAGTCATACGCTCTGTGCTCAAGACCCCAAAACTGTGGTCAAGACCCCAGACCCAGAGGCCCGGCAAAGGGCCACGAGGTAGATGGAAGGGGCAGCGGGAACTCCTGCACTTCACAGCCTTGTATCTCGAATTCTGTGAGCAACGCCACATAAATACATACACGCATCTGCCCCATTTCTTTTTATCTTTTTAAAAAGATTTTATCTATCTATTTAGAGAGAATGGAAGGAAAGGACAAATAGAGGGAGAGAAACATTGACGTGAGAGCAAAACATCAATTGGTTAAGCGCCCCAACTGGGACCAAACCCAAAACCCAGGCATGTGCCCTAACTGGGATTCGAACCAGTGACCTTTCGGTTTGTGGGATGATGCCCAACCAACCGAGCCACACCGGTCAAGGCTGCCCCATTTCTGACTGTCCCCTCTCCGGTCCTAGAGTGTTCGGGATGTTCCATCAAGCCAGCGACAGAGAAGCCGTCTATGCCTGCTTCACCTTCTCCCACTGGCTGGTGTATGCCAACAGCGCTGCCAACCCCATCATCTACAACTTCCTCAGTGGTGAGTGGACTGGGGAGGCAGAGTGACGGAGGGCAGCGATAGCCTTCAGGACAATAGACTCTCCACCCCAATCCAGACCGATAAAAGATGGCAGGGGGGACGAGGTACCTGCTCCTTCCTGGGAATCATGGCCCTGCTCTGGTAACCCCCGCTCAGGGGGAAGACCTCACCCCACCCAGGCGCCCTGGTCTGTGTGGGAGACTGGCCACTCTCTCAACTGTGGCCAAAGAAAGCTGACCCACATCTGCAGATTATGCACACCAGTGAGTGGGTAGAAAGGGCAGCAGCTAGGCCAGCTCATCTCCACGCCTGCCAGGTACACGCACAGCAGGACCTCCACTCAGCCTGTCTGGTCAACACCGGCTCCAGTGGGAGCCGGGCCTGAGGGGTGACTGCATAATCAAGGCATCGGGACAAAGGGAGGGACACAGCCAGAGGCCTCCCAGGGTCAGGAGAGGGCTTCCCCGTGCCCAGCTAGACACACACTGGCAGAGGGGCCAAATTTGGGATCTATCCCTAGATCCACCCTCCTCCAGGACCAGCCCTCCTGCTCCCCCCTCTGGAAATCCCCCACCCAATCCCCCACCTCAACCCGCCCCTCCCTTCTACTGTCCCACAGTTCCCCACCCTCCCTCTACCTGCGTTTCAGAGCGGGCATGCCACCCCCTGCCCCCCAACCCCCGCCATTAGCCCAGCAAAAGTGCGACTCTCCTGATCTCTGACTCTGGGACAAGGCCTAAAACAGTTCCAAATGACTGTTCAAGCCTGGACGCAAATAGTCTTCAAGAAAATGTTCAAAGGGACCAGTGGTTGATATCATAGCCCTCAAAGAGGCTCAAGAATTACTCAACAAAGGCTGGCTAGGTGGTTCCCAGCTCAGAGAGGAGAACAGAAGAGATGAGTTCTGTCGCAGAGGACACGCTGCATTCCTCTCTTTGGTCTACATTTACTGAGCGCCTACTGTGTGCTTGGCCCTCTGCTGGGCGGGGGCTGGCAGGATGCTGAGACATGATCAAGGTTTCAGTTCCAGATAAAATGTTTCCCTGATGTCCTTTGTCTGGACAAGGTGGCTGTGGCAGTCCCGCCTTTGCACTCTCCCTTCCTCTTTAAGGGCTTTAACGTTAGAACCGGGGCTGGGTTAGAACTCCAAGCTGGGTGACCCTGGGCAAGCCACTGCACAGCCGTGTGTCCCATCTGTGAAGTGAGGATCAAGGACCCCAGCCTCTCAGGGTGCTGAGGCACCTGGCACAGTGCCTGGTGTGAGAGCTGCTGCTGCTGGCACTTTCATGACCGTGGGACAGAGGTGGGGAAGCCTGGGTGAGCCCTGAGCCACTCCACCTACACGCCAGGGAGGGCAGAGATGATCGGAGGCCCCTGAGCCAGACACCAGGTTTCGAGCTGGGCTCAGCACCAGAGCAGTCAAGGAATCAGATAATTGCATTTCTCCTTGGGAACCTGCTTGGGGGCCTCTGCTCTCTCTCCCTGGTGGTGACAATGTGGCTCTGGGGCTTTCTGCATCCAGCACCACCCTTCCCTCCTGGCCCCTCACGGGCAGCTTGGCTTGAACTGCATGGGTGTCCTAGGGCCCAAGGCCCCTTCTTGCTGCAGTATTTGTCTCCTTATGGCTGTGTCTCTGTCTCCCAACCAAGGCAAGTTCCGGGAGCAGTTTAAAGCCGCCTTCTCCTGCTGCCTGCCTGGCCTGGGTCCCTGCGGCTCTCTGAAGGCCCCCAGCCCCCGCTCCTCTGCCAGGCACAAGTCCTTGTCCTTGCAGAGCCGGTGTTCCATCTCCAAGGTCTCAGAGCACGTGGTGCTGACCAGCGTCACCACAGTGCTTCCCTGAGCCAGGGCTACCTTAGTCGCTCCAAGGGGCGCCACCTGTCCCCTGCCTGGGTTGCCCCTCTGGCTCCTGGGGGACCAGCCCTGACTCCTTGGGGAGACTGCCGAGTGCAGCGTGAGGCCAGGGCTCCGGTCCGCATTTTCTGCCCGTTTGACTCTGGGCAAGTAACATCCCTTCTCTGAGCTGTGTCCCCTCCACAGGATTCATGGGAGGATTACGCACCCTCAAGAAAGTGGAAAGCTCTGTAAATTGTAAAGTGTTGTGGACTAGATATCATTGTATTCCCCTCACTTGGCTATACCTCACAGTACATTGATCCTTATCATCCTTCCAGAGCTTGGCCTTCTTCCCAGAGACCCCTCTCCTACCCAATTACAGGCCTTCCCTGGAGCCTGCTGTAAGGGCCCAGCAGCACTTCCATCCGGCCCAGCAACTCCCTCAAGCCCAGACTGCCCTCAGCCAGCCCTGCTCTGCTACCCGTGTAACTCATCTGGGCCCAGCCTTTCCCCTGGGGGAGCACAGCCGCACCCTCACCAGGTGCCGAGCGCACACCGCACTATAGACTGGCTCCTTTCGGCTTTGTGGTGTGATAAAACCCTCTCCATGTGACCACTTGGTGTGGAGGCCAGCAGCCCAAAGCAATTGTAATTAAAAGCCTGGCACCGAATGTTCCCTTTCCTTGTCACTGCACACAATCTGTGCTGCTGAGGTTAGGAGCGAGGAAGGTGGGGAAGTCGGTGTGGGGGTGGGGGGGAGACAAGGAAGCACTGGGATGCTATCTGCTGACCACTCCCACCTGCCATCCCCCGACACACTGGGTCCCAGGTGGGCCCCTAGCCAGGCCTCAGAGCATGCCTGGTGCTGCTTCCTCAGGCAGCGCCACTTCTCTGATGCCCAGGACCTCAATTCTTGGCACATTTGTCTGCTCATGGGCCCAGTGGCCTATGGAAGGTAAGGGGGGTAGGGTGGGCAGACAGCAGAGCTAACAGGCTGACCCACTATTATCTTCACCATCTTAGAAACCAGGGCTTGCATTTATTCTCTATGAACTCACCGAATAAAAAGAGAAAGCCACAGACTTGGCTAGATGCGCTTCGTCCGCCGCCGAGATGATTCGGGGGCTGCCAGAGGCCCTGACCCTTGTTGCCAGAGCAGGAGGTAGAGGAGTCTGAATCACTGCTCTGCTGAGAGGAGCGGAGACGTCCGGCAGAGGCCAGCCCGGCTGTCTGCTTAACCTGATTAATGAGGCTGCGGGTTCCCTCTGGCCTCACCAGGCAGGAAGTGGGCAAAACCACGGCCCTGCCAGGCGCCCAGCCCGGGAATGCTTAAGCACCCCTCCTGTTAGGCACCACCAGGGCAGGTGGAAAGTGTGGTCTGCCACCCTTCTCTCCAGATGACTCACCAGCCCTGCTCTCGTGGACACTTCCATAGATGGCGGGCGTGGCCAGGCGGGCTGGCCCGTCCTGCGCACTGTGCACTCCTGGTTGGCCTTGGGATCCAAAGCTGCCTGTCAGGTTCGTAGCCAGGCTTGGAGGTGCGGCGTTCAGAGTGAGGCGTGAGGGCTGGCCCCCAAGCTCAGGACCAACCATGCCCACAGGGACCGACCCAGATCCTGGGCGCCCCAGCAGACCACAAGGGTGAGATACGAGTGGCCTCGTTCTAAAGGTGGGTTTCTATAGACACGTGGCTGAGTGGGAACAAAGAAACAACAGAAGCTTCCCCCAAGGGCAACAGCTGAACCCGGTGCCATGTTGAGCCTTAGGCCATTTGGGGGACTCAGATGAACTGTGAGAAAATTCAGGGGAGGTGACCAGTATGACAAGGGGAGAGATGCTCAGTGAACAGTTGCCGAAGAGCCCAGGAGGACTTGGGGGAAATATGGTGGCAGATCTCCGTATCTAGAGGGTTGGTGTGCAGAACGTGTTACCCGGAAAGGCACTGAGTTCGTCATGGGAGGTTGTCAAGCGGAGGCTGGACTCACAATGGGGCCACGGAGGGGACTCCAGCTCTGGATGGTGGCTGGCCTCTGGGCACTGATTCCGTGTAATTCTACGACTAGTCTACAGAGAAGGGGACTGAAGTGCGGAGACCGACATAGCTGCGGGGCCTCCCAGGGCTGCCAAAGAGGCAGTTTCCTTTCCCAGCCATCCACTGCTTGGGGCCTGCAGTTCTCATCTTCACTGGCAAAAGGATTATCACACCATTACCCATGACAAGGTCTCCCAGGTGAACCAGGATGGCTGGTGTCCTCACTTTTGACTCGAATCTTGTCAGTTCACCATAGACATTTAGTGTAGACTGGTTATCATGCTGATCTGAAGATCTAGCAGACAAGGACAGATGTCTGTGCTTAATAAAAACGGGAGAAAAGTTACGCAGCTTGTCTGGACGATAAAAGTAGGGCTTGAGACAATGATAAGGCCAGACTAAAAAGTTCGGGGTGGCTGCTTCCAGCCCAGAGTGCCAGCCCTAAAACTTGTAAAACACACAGTCGGGTCCTTGAGCTGACACCAGGCCCCTGCCTTGCAGCTCCACTCTGGTACATGGCAGCAGCCTCACGCGGACTATGCCCCCCGCCACGTCTTTCTGCGCGGCGTGGTATGCAGTGCGCACGTCAGTATTTGTCGGATGAAGGAATAAATGAGTAACCGAATGGATGGGCATAGAAACCTGTAGCTGGGCAGGCACGGTAGAAAATGCGGAACAGAGTTTTATCCTTTTATTGAAGCTTACAGTTTCACTGAACTTTTGGCCCCAGATGAAAAAAAAATGACAAAAAGGCATTGGCAGTGGGAGGTGGCAACTGTCCCCCGGGGATGGAAGCTGAGCAGAGAGTGGTGGGCAAGGGAGGGGTCCGAGCTGCAGAGTGCAGTGGCCTGGCCCAAGACGCCCAGAGAACAGGCTGTCCAAGCTCCCTGAGCAGGGACAGCCCCCAGGCAGCTAGAGGTTCACACACACGGACTTGTGGGCATGAGGGTGGTGGCGTCTGAGCCCCTGGTCCCTTGGGCAGATCTCTTTTATGCTTGGTCAGATTCCACTTTGGAGAAACTGGCTTCGTCTAAAAGGAGAGCATGGCGGAGGGGACATAGCTGCTAATGGTAGGAGGCTGATGACCACTTACCACCGGCGCTGGGGGCACGGCAGACCAAGCTGGAGGCTGGAGCCCAGCCCATTTCATTGGACATGAACTCCATTACAATGGCTGGCACCTCCGGCTCTAAGGCTGTGCCACTTAAATGCTCAGGGCTGTAAGGACATTTAACTTCCAGTCCTCTCCTAGGTCAGGCCCCTGCCTGGATGGCCCTGGCCCAGGACCCCACTATTTGGTGGCTATGACACAGGACTCCCAGCCCTCTTGGGGAGCAGTGCTGCATCAGGCAAGGGAGGATCTTTTTCGATGAGGGGCAGGAAAAAGAGAGGTCCACATGCTTCTCCCACTCTAAAGAGCCAGGAAAGGTCACCTGGTACATGCCACTCTCTACAGATAAGCTGGGTCATAGCAGCCGAGACGCTGTCATGGTAACAAAGTCCTCGAAGCTGAGCCGAATGTTGCCTTGCACAGCTGTGTCCTTCTCCCGGAAGGCCTCGGTCAGCACCTGCAGCTGGGTGCACACCTGGATGAAGCGGTCCAGTTGCATGCCAGGATTGGCGGAGCGCGGGCAGTAGCGGGAGACCAGGAGCTGGGTGAACTGTGGGCTCAGGTTGTAGCCCATTTGGGACAGAGCTGGAGAGGAGGGCACACAGAGCAGAAACGAGGCCTGTCATGAGCACTGCCATCGACCAGCCCCACAGAGCACAGCACTTCAGGGGATGTCGAGGGACTAAGCACCGAGACAGAGAGGACGGAAGTCCCGCGGGTCTGTCCAGGGTGGCAGCAGCACCACAGGGGCTCTGTCTGGGTGCTCCCCTTAGCTGGTGGGCCTTGTCCCTCTTTCTCCAAATCTCCATCATTATCTGTTCAGTGGGGGATCCCAGAATGACACCAGGCCACCCATGCTCATCTCTGACCGGTGTGCGTTACGGAAGGAAGCCCGAGCCCCACAGATCGCCCGGACCAGTGCGGACACCAGAGGCGGCCACAGCAGAGGGGTTCCGGGGCCTGCTCTGGAGTCAAAACAGCCCCTCGGCACACTACTTCCCCTTGCTCGTCCTCTGACTGTCATCCCTAAATGGGGACAAATGACACTTACCTGGTGGGTTTTAGTAAGGATGAAAGGGGGTCAGCACAGCGCTTGGCACACGCCTGGCACCTAACGGGCGCTCAGTAAGCGTTGCCACAGTAAGTGAAATCATCCTCATCTCCCCAGGCGAGGCGGCGGGGCAGCTCCAAGGTCACAGCCTATGTGCCATTGCCCATGTCCCTCCACCTGAGAGGCTTCCTTCCTTCTTCTCAAATAATCTACCAGCCCAGCCTAGTCTCGTCTCCCCTTTTGCTATGTGGCCTGAGGCCATGTTACCTATACCAAGCCTCAGTTTTCTCATCCATAAAAGGACAATCATAAGGGACGCTTCATCTAAGCCAGGGGGGTAGGAGGTGGCGAAAAATAAACAGTACCTATCACACGGGGAGAATGACTGATGTAACACAACAGAAGTCTTATTATAGTGCTTGGCACGTAGCCAGCATTCATTCACTAAATTATTAGTTTTGTTGTGATAGTATCACCCTTACCAATATGCATGATAGAACCCTGTAAAGGAGTCGGTGATCAGTACAGGTCATCTCCTCTCCCTTTTACCAGGGCGCAGAAATGGTGAGCTTCCCCCGCCCCCAAGCTCCTTAGCACGGCTGAAATCCACGGCCAGGACAAGGGGCTGGTTCGCTGGGAACCCTGTCTCCCTCCCAGACGGCAAAGCTCCCCGTCAGAGTCTCATCACCTCACTAACCACCCATCCTCTACAGTCAGAACTGGAACCAGACCTGCAGCTGTGGCCTCGGGTCACCTTATCCGGCTGCAATGACGACAGTGGTCTGGGCCCCAGAGTTGGGGAGGTCACTGCCTTCCAGCAGAGCCAGCAACAGAAGCCATCTTTCTGAGCCCCTGTATGGGGCTCTTTCTACTCTGCATGCTAGAAACCAGAGCAAAGAGAGTCTCACAGTGCCCTGGGCTGCTACATTTCCACGCCCAAGGCTCCCTGCAGGCTGGGCCTGTCTCACCTAGCACTGCCAGGGGTCCCATCGCCAGGAGTGCAGCCCTGATCCTGGGCTCAGGTGGTCCCCTTCACTGGATCTTGGCTCCAAGCCCCAGCCAGGCCCCAGAGCGGGTGGAGAGCAACCTGCGCCGAGGGCGGCATGCTGCGGTGCAGCCGGGCACTCGGCAGCCAGAGGCTGGGGGAGAGCCCTTGCTCGACCTCAGGGAGTACGGACAGCGCTCTGGCACTGGGTCCCTGCCCCGGCCCTCACCTTGCTGCAGCTCCGTGTAGCTAATGGAGCCTGAGTGGTCTCGGTCATACTGCTGGAAGAGGTTTTTCCACTGCTGGATGAACTTCCACAGCGCTGAGAAACCGTAGACGTCAATGCGGCCTGACTTGGTCTTGTCGAACATGTCTTGGGGAGAACGAAAAGGAAGAAAGGAAGGAGGGAAGGAAGGAAGGCAGGCTTCAAGACTGCAGGCCAAGGGTCCTCGGGTGGCCCTTCTCCGTGGAGGGCAGCCCTTCTCCCCAGGCTGGACGGAGCAGGAGACTCCACAGGACCACAGGCCCAGGTGCCCATACCTGAGACATACCCTCATTGAGTGCCACGCCAGCCCTGACTCCTGGCCACTCTCTCCGGAGCTGCCATTTCCTCTGCAGGCTTGCCAGGTGGCCACCCCCCGCCCCCGCCATCTCCTAGCAGAGCATGCAGAATGGGAAATGGGTTAGCCTGCAACTCAGCAGGGCCGAGAACTGGCGAAAAGACCTAAGGGGAAGAGCTCTCAGCCTAGATCTCACCTTGAACCCAGTCTCCTGCCTGAAAGCCTCCCTGGCCAAAAGATTTTCCTTCAAAACGGTCGCCTGCCCACCTACTGTCAGCTCTCAGGCCGCTCTGCCCCAAGCCCGGGCCCCTGGGGAAGGGCGAGCACTCACTTATCATCATGAGGCATGTCTCGTCATTGAACGAGGACCAGTTGGAGTTGACCAGGGCCTGCTTCAGCTCCTTGATGGAGATGTAGCCACTGTGATCCACGTCTACTGACTGGAACCAGGAGTAAGCCTCAGGGTCCACATTGGGCGGGACGCCTCCTGCAGGAAAGGGTGCAAACCCCGGGAGTCAAACGAAGGTCTCCAGGCCAATCTGCAGTCCAGGTGCCTCCCTGCCCACGGGCTCGCCCTGCCCACGGTCTCAGACCTTCAGTGTACCCTCACGGGCACTCTGTCGCTTTCCGCTCTGAATCCGCTGGCTTTCCCTACAGCGCTCTAGTCACTTCTCTATTTGGTTTTCAGTTTCTAAGGAACAAGGACCTGCCCAGTTGATTAAGAATTCTCTGGAAGGAGGGATTATCTTTTCCTCACAGACTGGAGACCCAAAAATGTTTGCTGAGCACCTGACCCGGAGCCCTGAGACTGTGCGCGTTTGAGAGTCCCAGCAGGAGGCAGCTCTGGGGGTGGGAAACGGGCGGAGGGCCCGGGCGCACTGGAGAGCTGACGGCCTGTGCAGAGGGCGGGGGGGCCACGAAGCTCCACCTCTCGCCCTTCCCCAGCACCTCTGGTGTGTGATGTGCGTGTCCCCATCTGTCCTCTGGAGACATCTCATCCCACACACCCAGACAGCTGTCCAATTCTGTCAGTTGGCACTCAGGTATCTCCTCCCCTGTTCCCCCTGCGCCTTCCCAAGTTCAGCCACCTGTCACCTGCACTGCTCTAACCAACCAAACAGCCTGACCACACGGTCCTTACAGCTACTCCCACCACCCTTCACCCGCTCCTGAGGAACCTCCATAAACTTCAACTCTGTTTTCACCCGTTACCCCCCACCTCAACTCAAAACCCTTCAAAGGCTCCCGCCGCCTACAAAATACAGGCCAGCACCCTTACAACGGCATTCCAGGGGCCCCCAAATGGGGTCCACTCCTGTCAACCTCTCCCACTTTGTCCCCACTGTCCCCCTCCCACGCCCAGCCCAGCCCAGGTGAAGCACTGCACTTACCCACACCCGCGCCTTCCCATGGCGGGGCCTGTACTCAGCCGGTTCTCGCTGCCCTGCGCCCCTCCACCCTCATCTCTCTGCATCCATTTCCTTGCACCTTTCAAGGCCCAAGTGAAATGCTGCTCCCTCCGTAAAGCCTACCTATTCTTCTGTCCCTGGAGAGGCCTTCCTCCCCTCTCCTTTCTATGCCTTCTCTTTTATGGCCCTGTTCCCTGCCCTGTATACATGTTTTCAGGCCACCTTCCAGGTTAGACTTTGGAGTGACCTGCAGGCAGGAGGCTGGCTCACCTCTGAATCCCCAGGGGCTATGGCACAGAGCCTGGCACAGAAGGGGAAGGTGTGCGCTTCATGTCAGAGCAGGCCTCGGTTCCAGTCCCCGCCCCTCCGCATATTACAGCCCTGCTTAAGTTATTTACATTCTCTGTGTATCAGTTTTCTTATCTATAAAATGAGGGCAAAACAGCACCTACTTCATCAACTGCAAAGATATATGAAAACCCTGAAACCAGCACCTGCCACAACCTAAGCACTATACAACTGCAGATTAGTAGTGTAGTTGTGGTTCATACAGCTTTGTGTGAATGTCGGGAGTACGTCTGCAGCTTTTTGTATACGCCATACAGGGGGGAAAGGATCGTACACCTGGAAGGATATGCAGAGTGAGCAGGAGTGTAGGGGAAAGGAGACAGGTGAGAGCAGAGAAGCGCCGACTATTTTAGGGAAAAGCCAGAGCTATGCACATCGCTGAACCTACTTTACCGGCCATAAAAAGGGCTCCTTCACACAGAGGGTATCAGGGACAGCCATGTCTGCTGTGGGTGCAGAAACCGCTGTCCAGCCCCAAAGGTGAGGCCAGAGGCTTTGCCCGACGGAGGGACTATCTGACCGCCTCGAATGGGAAACCAGGCAGGCCCCACCGTCCTTCCTCAACCAGCAGCTCTGCCACAGGGGCGTGGGGGCTGCAGCCCCCAGAGGGACAGTCTTTGTGACATGTGGTCCCTGCTGTTTGCATAGAAGAGCTCAGGCTTTGGAAGCAAATAGCCTCTGATCCTTGCTGGTTTGTGTGACTTTAGACAAATTGTTTCATTTTCTGAAAACTAATTCCCTCATTTCTAAAATGGACCCATTTCCCAGGGTAGTTGTGATGATTAACCAACAGCAAAAGTAAGTTTTAGCGAAGGGCCTAGAATGTGTGCAGGCCCGTTGCCACAGAGGAAGGAATATTTACACTGGATCTGAAAGGACGACAGAGTTGTGGCTGGGAGCAGAAAAAGCACACGGCGGCAGCACAGAGTGTGTTCAGAGTACTCCCAGGGGTCTTGGGTTGACGGGAGGGAGGGGCAATTCAGGTGAAGACGCTGGAAGGGCCCGTCAGGTCTGGAGTGCCTTTAGGGTATTTCCTGTGGGCAGTGGGGACCTTTATTGGTCAGACCTGTCTTACAGAGCAGGGGTGCTCCAACCCTAGGTCGTGGGGTCAGTGGGGCTCACGTGGGGCTTCAGGTGACCCAGGCAGGTGATGAGTTGCTCATGCTGTAAGGAGCAGTGTTTCAGGAGGCCAGCAGCTACCCTGGAGAGGGGCCCCGGTGCCAGGTGATAGAAAGCTACAGAGGGTGAGTAGCTAAGAGCCTAAGGCACACCTTTCCTTGCCTCTGCGGCCCCAGAGAATATCTCTGGCCTCAGGCCCTGGAGGCTCCTCACAGCCAGGGGCTCCTTTCCCTGCAATGACCTCATGGAGGCTCAGAGACAAGATTTTAAAAGGATAAGGAAATCCACCATGAAGCTGCTGAGCTGAAAGCAAACAGCCAGAAGCTCTGGGCTCTGGCAAGATAAATGCCACCCCGTTTAGAACCCCCGAGATTTGCACATCTCCCTCCGAGCCTCCTGCCTGGGTGTGTGTGCTAAGATGCTGCAGCTTCCCAGCAGGCCATTCCTGGGAGGCCCGTCGGGTGCACCAGAGTGGTTCCTGGCGCCGTGCTGCTGGCCTGGTCTCCCGGGACCAGCACACCGTGTAAGCGGCTGCCTGCATCTGACTGCATGAATTTCGGAGCGAGCAGGGAACCGGGCGCTCATCCTCCCTGACCCCTGTCTGAGACCACTCAGGAGTCTTCACTGAGCCCTCACCCAAGATTCTCTGCCTGCACTGAATCACCAAGCCCCCAGCCACCCCCCAACCTGTCCAGTGCTCACCTTTAGAATCTCTGCTCTTTACCCCTCCCCTAGCACGTCCCAGCATCCTGCTTGCCTCAGCATCTTTCAGCCACGTCTGCTGTCACGATAAATGCTGAATACCTCTTTGCTAGAAATGCCCCAGTACGAGTCCTCTCACAGAATATTGATTATTAAGCCCCTCCCCTGCGCCGGACACTGTTCTCATGTTTACTTGCATATTCTTATCTTATCCTTACTAACAATCTTGTGAGAGACGGTCACCCATTTTTACAGAAGTAAATACCGAGACTTAAAGAGGTAAAATAATTTGGTCAGTTCAGTAGGTGATCTGATCTCAGAAGCCCAAGATTTTAACAACTACACCATATTGCTTTTCTACACATAGCAATCAGACTCCCTTACACAGAAATGGGGCTCCCCCAAGACGGACTACATTGTCTTCTCCAATTACTTGCTAATTTCTGCTCCCACCTCCACCACCTTCCCTGTGAGGGCACTGCACATCCTGGCCACTGCCTGGCAGCCGCAGAGCCCTTCCAGCGGAGGAGTATCCCTTCCCATCCTGTTGGTATCAGGCTGGACTACGGGATGGGGTTAGGGGATGAGGTTAGGTGATGTGGTTTGGCCAATAGCCCACGAGTGGAAGAGATACAAAGTAATTGAAAGCAGAAGCTTTAAGAGGCATCATGCATTCCTTCCTGCTGGCTCTCCTGCTCTTTTTTTTTTTTCTGCCACAAGAACTTATCTCAAGTGGGGGCTATTCCTCCAGCCTGGATCCTGGCAAGAAAAGACATGCGGTGCAGAACCTCAGCAGCTGAAACCAAAGCTGTCGACATGTAAGCCAGACTAAATAAGTGTGAGCAAGCAATAGAAATAAACGTTTCTTGTTGTAAGCCAGCGAGACTGTGGAGCTGTTGTTACCACAGCAAAGCTAACTAACAGACTTTCATTTCGCTGATGCAAGCTGAAGGTAGAAGTGAGGTGCTAAGGTGTCAGAGACCGGGCTGCCTGCACATCCACACGAAGGGCAAGGATGGGCCCTGGATAACTCAGAACAAGGTCAGAGGCACCTGCAACCCAAAGTCCCTACTTACCTGGAGGAGGTCCCTGTCCATAAGGCCCACCGTAGGCATTTGGAGGCGGCTGCCCATAGGGGGCCCCTGGGGCCATACCACCATACGGTCCTCCTGGAGCTCCAGAGGGGAGCCTTCCAGGGTTGGGGTGTCCATAAGGCCCTCCAGGGGCAGGACCTCCACCGTAACCGCCACCAGGGGGTACCCCGCTGCCATATTGCCCTCCACCAGGGTAGTAGCTCCCTGGAGGGGCTCCGGGTGCTTGTCCTCCAGCTCCTGGGCAGCCCTGCAAGAAGAGCAAGGTATCAGTCAGACGATAAGGCCAGAAACTAGTCACAGCATGGCACCTGACAGTTATAGGCACTGCCACCGTTATCCGTTCAACTGCTCCTCCAGGCAAGGCTGGAACTATGACCCCATTACTCAGATGGGGGACCTGAGGCTTCTAGAGACACAACCTAGCCAAGGTCATAACCTACCAAGGACCTACAGTCAAGGCTGGAATCTGACCTTCCCGGCTCCCCTTCCCTGCACCCTAAGGGGCCTCCTCGAGGGCTGGGGTCATGCCTGGTTTGCCGTTTTATCCCCAGCCCCCAGCGCACAATGGATGCTCAGTAAACATTTACTGTATGAACGAGTAGGCAAACGAATCAAAGAGAATTGCAAATCTTCGCCTTGTGGCACTGCCATGTCTATCTGCAAATTCAAAGTACAGAAGTGACCCTCTTCAGTCACAGACGATGTATCCATCGCATGGAGTCATCCTTAGCATGCCTTCCTTACCCTACTTTAGCTCATGACGCAAAAGCACTTTCCCATCCTCACTCATGGATCTGTGAGACAGGCAGGCACGACCCTATTCCTAAGGCAATAACAATAGTGAAGAGACAAAAAGATTAGTTCAGGTTCAGGTTCTGCTACTTACTGACTAGGCTAAGGACTTACCCGCTCTAAGCCTGCCTACCTCCCAGGTTGGTACGTGAATGAAATGAGACCAGTCACAGGAAGCACTCTTGACGCAGACCTTGGCACAGAGTAAGCACTCAATATACATTAACTATTAATAATAGCACCCTTCTATGGAGCAGGAGACTCAAGTCTAGGAAAACCATACACAGACTGTGTGGAGGGGCTGGGGCCAGAACCCAGGTCTCCTGGCTGCTAAGCCTAGGCCATTTGTACATGAGGGCACAGGGCAGGGCATTCCCTCTCTTGTCCATGTTCTCATGCCTCCAGCCCAGGACCCCTGAAGCCCAGAGTGCTCAGCTCCAACTCCCTGAATGGCCAGCAAAGGGCCTGGCAGAGCACAGCTCCAACAGGGCACAGCCCCAACACTCCTGCAGACAGGCTGAGCTCAGGAGCGCCGAGAGCAGCTGGGCCCGGCTCTGAGGCTGCGAGGATGGTAACACCCAGACATGAGCTGGATCAGCCTGCAAGTCTCACCAACAGCCTAGCCACTGAGAGCCTGGACCTCCTCTTTTTATTGTTTGACAGTTTCTGGGACAGTTATTCTCCAGGCTAAGGACAAACTCGCGCTTTGTCTAATGAGGGTCTGCTTGCTCAAGGAAGGGAGGCTTCTTAAGGAGGGACAGGAAGCAGACCCTCCGCTTTCCTCACTCAGCATCCTGGAAGCTCTTCCACCCTGTGAGCAGCCATAGCATTATAGTGAGACTCCTTCACCACAAGGAAGTCGCAGGCAAATCTCAATTCAAAACTCAGCTCTCACCAGCTGAGTTCATGACCACGGGCCGATGGCTTAATCTCCCCGAGTCTGTTTCTTCACAAGTAAAATATAGCAATCCCTTCCTCAATGAATTGCAGATTGTAACAAATAAATGCAGAATTTTGTTGGTTTAATTTTGAGCTGAAGAATCTTTTGATTAAATAAGGTTTTAAAAACTGATAAAAGAAAGTTGTGGGGCTCCAGAGCCCTCACCGTGAGGCACCCCTCCCTCTCTTGCTAGGTAGTGGGGAAGCTCGGCAGAACACTCATTGGCTCAAAAGACACTTTGAAAACCATTAACATAAGAAAAAAAAAGTTCCTACAATAGTGTCTGGCATAAAGGAAATGATCACTCTATCCTAGTGGCTACTGTTATTATTATATTACTATTATCAGAAAAGCCCTGGGCCAGGAAAACTCGGGGCGGGGATTGAGGGGGGACTTATGGGAGAGGGGACAGTCCTGAAGGAGCTCAGTTAACAGGAGAGGCAGGGAGATGCTCTCTGGACACCAAACAAAACAGCATGAGGAAACGGGTGTTTAAAACAGTGCATAAGTCACGTGCCACGGGGACACAAAGGAGACAGAGTGAAACCAGGGAAGGTTTCCATAAGAAAGCAGCACTTGGGCTGAGACTTGAATGAAAAAGATTCCCAAGGGAGTTGTAGAGGCAGGATGGGAGAGGTGCCCCGCGGACCAGCCACTGAACTTCACTCCTTCAGCTTACAGATGGGGAAATTAAGGCCAAGAAAGGGTAAGAGGCTTGTTCGTGTCACACTATGAGTTAGAGGCAGAGCTAGATCACCCCCCCACCACCCACTCCCAAGTCCAGTGACTCTCCCTGACTCCTGCTCCTGGCTCCTTCCATAAGCAGTAGGGAGCAGGATTCCAGGGTAGGGCAGAAAAGGGTAGGGGGGACTCTGCAGAGTCCAGTCTGGGCACACCCAAAGAACAGGCTGAATACCAAGCCAGGAGGAAGCTGCTCCACAATAAGCCCTGTGAACAAAGCCATAAACTGCATCCGGCCTAGGGCACCCTGGGAAATGTGCCCAAGCCAACAAAGGAGATGCCGCCAGCCTGACCTTCCCTATCACCTTCTAGGGGCCTGGTGCAGCCTGGCAGCAACGAACCCTTTCCTTTGCATCCTACATTAAAGCCTTCCCGCACAGTTTACAAAGCACTCTCTCACACACACAAACACTACTGGCAGAATCCTGTTAGCGCTCCTCTAACAGAAGGAAGGAAGTAAGTAGTGGGCCCATTTTCACATGAAAAAACGGAGGTACGCAACCATTAAAAGACTTCGTCCAGCAAGCATTTACAGAGCGACAGTCTTGTGCTAGGCCTGGGGACACAAAACTAAACAGGGTCTGGCCTCAAGGAGCCCATAGGTAATTATGACACAGTCTGGCCAGTGCCATCATAAAAGTCTACTTAAACACTACCAAGGAGGCAAGAGCAGAGGACTCCGTTCTGTTAACTGAATGGTAAATTAGCAGTAACATGGACAAATGTATGAAGTGGGTCAAGGAAGGCTTCCTGGAGGAGGCAGGACTAATAATGGAGTTGGCAGTGAAGGATGCAAGGGCCTTCTATAAAAGGAAGGCAGAGAAGGACATTCCAGACAGAAGGGAGAAGAGACAAAGGCACAGACCTATGAACAAGCATGGAGTGGTCACAGAACAGACTAAAAAAGCAGGGGGCAGGGGCAAGATCAGGAAGGCAGACTCTTTACACACGCCTTGTCCAAGCACCTCTCCTGCTGCCTTGCGGTCGGCTGCTGAGTTGCTGGTGTCTTAGAGCAGTGTCTGTCCATGGCCTCCTCCACCGTGCACCAGGGAGCTCCCCAGGGCAGACACTGGGCCCATTCACCACGGCACCGCCGGGTCCAGCACAGCGCCTGGCACCTGCAAGCCTCCATAAATATCTGAACAAATGAATGCCCCTCTAAATGCCCCTCGGACTCGATCCTGGAGGAAACAGAGCCCCATAGAAGGGCTTCCAAAAGGGGAGGAACACGATCAGAGCCTTGTTCAGAGAATTAACCAGCAGCGGTAGGGAGGATGAGCCAGCGGAGGAGGCAGGAGGCTGGGCGCCGGGCAAGCAGGGCTTGAGCCAGACAGCAGACTTGGAGACGGAGAAAACAGGATGAATTCTGAAGCTATTTCAGAGATAGACTAGACATGACTTGGCAACTAATTAGGTTAGGGAAGAGCTGGAGGGAGGAGGAGTGAGGAAAGGGAAATGTTTGGAATGACGCAGGTCTCTAGCTGCACCAGAATCTGAAGGAAGTGGAGCCACCGGACTGAGGCCGAATCCAGGCTGGGGAAGGTGGTTTCCAGGGTCAGTCACCTCACTGTTAGTAAGGGTCTGAATCAGAAATGAAAACCAGGGTCCCTGGCTCCAGGTTCTTTTATACTGCTCCATGCTGCCAACCTTTTTGAGAGTATTTCCAAGACAATTTCATACTGATAAACACAAGATGGTAAGAGGAAAAAAAAAAAAAAAAAGACAGGAAGAGTTCAGTAACCCCGGTTTCCAAAGCATTACAGAAACAGTGGGGTGGGGGAGGGGGCAATTAATATTTTATTGGGGCTCTGTTAAATGCTTCCAGTTCAGGTGGATCTCACTGATTCTCGTCTGTAATGTGTTATCTCCATCTTACAGATAAGAAAATTAAGGTGCAGAGTTTAATACTGTGCCTGTGGTGATGCAGCTAGAACAGGTGAGCTGGGGTTCAAATCGGGGTCTGTAAGACTCCACTGTACCACCCCCTGCTGTGGGTTCCCTTGATAAATGCGTGGGTGGCTCCTATGTGCCAGTGCCAGGCACTGTCCTAAATATATCTGTTCAACATGATGGATTTCTACAGTAGTGGGCAGAGCAGGGGGAAGGGCTGGATTAGTGCTCTTTCAGAGGCTTCAAGCCCAGTCATCAGGGAGATTCAGAAGAATCTTATCCTTTTTTCACCCCAGCTCCTAGAGCCAATTTGAAAGGCACAGAATTGTTAAGAGATCCCAAAGACCCTACGGTCTAACCTTTTGGTCAGTTTGGCATCTCTGGGATCTCGGACTGTATTCCTGCATGTGGTGGGGAGCTCACTCCATCCCAAATAATCTACTCAGAAAGTCACGTATTTTCTTTTGGCTCTGAGGGCTCATTCTTCCACTCCCAAGACCTGTGTGAGGCTTGGAGGGGTCAAAGGTTGGTCCCACCGAGTCCCGGTGGGGAAGAGAGCAGGCTGCGTTGCCAGGACAAGCCTGTGCTCTAGAGCTGCCCCTCAAGTGCGTGCTGGCGGAGGCCAGAGTCTATTCTAAGGGGTTAAACAATCGCAAGACAGAGGAGTGGTTTGGACATTCACCAGCAGAGCCTCCTAAAATATTTAAAGGCCAGAAACCTACAGCAAATAAACAGTGAGAAAAGAACTGTCCCAAGATTTCAATGGCCATGTCTGTGCTGACACTCCAAATGTGCCATCTGTCCCTCCAACTTCATCTCATCTGAACGGCACTCACTTATTCAGCAACCTCCTGGACCTTCCCCCCACATCTGTTCCTCTCTGCGTCGGTGAACGGGAATCCCTGGTGCCCTCCTGGCTGCCTCCTCTTTCCTCCACTCCAACACCTCAATTAGGCACCACATTTTCTCAACTCTGCCTCCCCAGTGCTTCTCAAACCATTTCACCATCTCACTGTTCTCTCCAACCTAGATCAGTTCAACAGCTTTGAAACTGGCCTCCCTGCCTCCAGTCTCTCCTGCTTCAACCCATTCTCGCAGCGCCCCGTGGGAATAGCTCCAAAGTACAAATGGGAGAAAACTCTCCAGCGGCTCCCTCACTACTCTTAGGACGAAGTCCACACTCTTCAAAAAAGCACCTGATCCTTCCCTTTCTATCTCATTTCTTACCCTTTTTCCCTTTTCCACAGTATGTGAACTAATCTCTTAAATTCCTCCAAAATACTGGGCTGTCTCACTTGCTTCCTGGCCTTTGCGCATATGATGCCCTCTCCTGGAATACCGTGCCTTTCTTCACCCAGCTCACGCCTGCTGGAGATTCACTTTTGGCCTTCAATGTCACCTCCTTTAAGAAACCTTCCTCCCCCAGAGACCGAGACAGGTATCGCCCCCGTGCTGTCCTCGTACCTTAAACTTCCTCCCATTTAATATTTACCACACTGACTCCACAATGTACATATCTGTATCACTCTTCCACTTGGAATATTTACTATATGCCAACACACCACAGCAAGCGCTTCATATGGACTATCTCGCTTAATCTTTACAGTAACCCTTGGGGTAGGTGCTCTTATGACCCAATTTTATAGAAGGGGAAACTGAGCCCCAGACTTTCTAAGAAATTTTTGCAAGGAAATGGCAGAGCAGGAATTTGAAGCCAAATCTCTCTGGCTCCAGAGACCAAGCTCATAAGCACCGAGACACATCAGGCTGGCTCCTCCACAGGATCAAAGGGTACTTGAGTTTTACTGCTCCCACACCCAGCACATGCTTGAGAGCCCTGGGGCTACAGGTGGTGGAAAACTAGTTTTGACTCCTAACAATAAGCTGCAATCCTCCGGGCCTCTGTACCATGTGGAGGGGAGGTAACGTGAAGCCCTTGGACGCTTTAAAACAACCCATTTCCTTTCTTGGGGCATCATGGACCAGGAGCTGAACAAGACAAGGGTATGAGGAGGGAACGAAAAGCACCTCTTCTATTCCAGACATGTCTCTCTCTGTATCCCTTTCCAACATTTCACTGAGCATAAGCCCAGGCAGCACTGCATGACAACAGCAATCATAGCAGCAAGAGCTTTGCCACCGTGCACGGGCACACGCTATGTATTAGCATCGTGCTAAGCTCCCTATAGGTTTTATTGTATTTCATCCTCATTTCAGCCCTATGAAGTATTAGTCTTCTCTTTTTACAAGTAGGAAACTGAGGCTCCAAGCCCTTGGATAATCTATCCAAGGACATATATCTAAGTAGTAGAATTAGAGTTCTAGCCTCATCCTGTCTAATCTGAAAGTTCTGGCTCTTAATTTCTATGTCACTTCTTCTAGGATGCATACAAATTACCTCCAAGAGCTTATTGAAATGTAGAACCCTTCCTAGGTGCAGAGCAGGTGGAAGGTGGAACCTCAAAGTGGGCCTTTTTAATAAGCTCCTAGGTGATGCAGTCCACCCACTAAGAAAAACCACACTATGGCAATGTTTACCAGAACTTTGTTTCTCAGGAATATTAGTGTTGCCAAAAAAAAAAAACAAAAAAAACCAGAGGTTAAAAAAAAAAAAAAAAAAAGGACGGGGGAGGTCCCATAGTTAAGTTTAAGAAATACCGCACATTCTATCCCTCTTGGCATATTTACAATGTATATAAACAAATTAAGAATTCTGAGATGCCCCGTGGTGAACTTACTCAGCTCTATTTAACAGAGTATTCTTCAAACTTACTTAACCACAGAATCCTCCTCCATCAGCAATGTCTATTAACATTTCACAAGACTCAGAGAACTGGACGGAGCTTGGGCAACCCTGCTAGGTTATGCTTCCTCTTAACTCCAGCCCAAGCTGGCCTCTCTTTTCTACCTCTGTATGCAATGAAAGGAATTTAAATTCTAACCCTGGCCTCACCCCCTCGCTTGCTACGTATGACCTTGAGCAAGCCACTTGGCCTCTTTGGGCTGGTTCCTCAGCCTTACTTTGGGGGTAATACTCCCTGATAGCATGTCTACTGGGCCTTCATGATTGAGATAATGGAGGCCCCGATACTGTGCACAAAAACTGTACAGGGCTGCACTCCCTCAAAGGGTTCTTGTTCCATCTTTTGGTATGTTAACTATACTCCATTTAGCGCTTTGTAATATCACATATGATCTTGTTCAACAATTTTTCCTGCATGTGATCTTGCAGGAAACTGTGATCTTGGGTAACTCAGGAGTCCTCTCTGGGCTCAGTTTCCTCCTTTTAAAATGAAGGGACTATTTTGAAGGCCCTCCCAGCAATGACTTTCTAGGAGTCTAATAAAAATCAAAATACTACAAGGTAACACCTGTTACACTCTTAGTAGTACCAAATGGCTTACAAGCATCACTTCATTGCTCTTCATACCAGCTCTAGCCAGTAGTCCCTACTATTTGGCCCTCTTTTAGAGGAGTAAACTTCGGCTCAGAAAGGCGAAATACCTCGCTCAAAGGTTCAAAACTATTTAGAGGATGGAGCCAAGGCGTGAACCTTCCCGACGCCAAACTATCCTTAATCACTCAACCACTCCATCATCCAGCAAAGGAGTCTGGCCACAGAACCACCTTGCTGTACTGTTCTTGGCTGGATCAAAATGGGTTGGCCAGTGGAGAAGCAGCATTTGCTGACAGCTCTGAGATCTGCTGCCTAACTGCCTGGTGATTTCAAGTTCTGTGTCTTCTCTGGGTTCACTTTCCCTATGTGTGAAATGGAGGTGCTGGGCTAGCAGTCAAACAAGCTCACTTTTGGAGCCGGCTAAAACCAAAGATTCTCTTGATTGTTTGGATGCAGTACATCAGGAGTGTATGTTTTACCGACGCCCCCAATGACACCGGCGGACCAGCACTCTAAACATTCTGTTGGCATTGATGACCCCGCCCCGGGGTCTTGCGGGATCGCTGGTAATGAACAGGGCCCAGACCAAGCCGACTCTGAGTCTGCGGGGTCAAAGATCCCCAAATCCTTGCGTGCGCAACGTCAAAGGGGGCGCGACGCGACCTCCGAGGCGTGCAGTCCTTCGTGACGTGAGATGGGCGCGACCGACCATCCCTTTTCCCTCCTCACTCGCCCGAGACCTCGCTGAAGCCAACTTCAGCGTTGGAGGGGTACGGAGAAAGTGGAGAAAAAACAAAGCTGAGGTCCTCAGTCTGGGCTTAGCAAGGCCCCCGCCTGAACGCGCCCGCCCCTCACACACTCACCTGCCCGTAGGGATAGCTGGCCATGGCGATTCTGACGTCACACATCGGCGAAGGGGCGGGCTTCCTGGTCTTAAACCCGCCCCCGCCTGGGCATGGGGACAGCCCCGCTATTGATTGAGTACGCTGTCTGTCAATCCTGGGCGTAGGTGTTGACGGAAGTGACACTATAGGACGGTGGATGGTGCCACCCCGGAAGTGAGGGAGGAGCTAAGGGTCGGCTAGGAGTTTCCGGAAGTTTTGTTCGGCCCTCCCTTTCCTACGGTAGGGTGGGTCCCAGAGTGAGACGCTTCGGTGGGGTATTGCGGCGGTGGCCATGTTTTAACCTGGCAAGTGGGACACAAGATAGTGGCCTAGTTGCTGTCGTCACTCCAAGTTTCCGCCGGAGGTGTGGCCAGGCAGTTACCATGACGACTGGGAACTGACCGAGGCCTTCTGGAAAGGACAAAGGAATTGGCTGAACTACTTCGCTCTAATGTCAAGACACCCCGTTCCAATTAGTAGCTTTGGTGTGGGATCTGTCCCAAACTTTCACAGTAGGAGAGGAAAATTAGATTATATGGAGCTTCTTTCCTAAGTGGGGAAACTCAGGTCTAGAGAGACAGTGACTTGTCCTATTTCATAATGGGCTGGGGGCAGAGTGCGGCTTACAACTGGGATCAATATGTCAACTGATGGTCATTGGTGCCAAATCAATGCCGAGGATCCCCAATTTGGGGGCGCAAGGAAAAAGGATACTTTATTTATGGCTGTGAAAACTGTAGAGCTGTAGAACAGCTCTGGGGCCAGGCCCTCCCCAGCTGGACAGCTCTGTTCTGCTCCAGGATGGCCTGTTCTGGCTCTGCCAGTTCGCTTCATGCTGCTCTCCCAAGACATAGTGCTTGGTGTTTTATCTCAGCCAAGGGGAAGCATAATTCTCATTTTTCTGGAGAGGGAGCATGCACTTCCAGAGCCACAGAGAAACTGGTTTGTAGGGACAGAAGTCTCCCCCCCTGGCTCCTGATAAGGTCGGTTCTCATGCAAATTAGGGCTCCAAATCCTCGCAGTTTGATTGGTTTAAAGGGCACTGTCCTGATTGGCCAGAATAGAGCTTCTCTGATTGGTCAGGGCTGCACAGCTCTGATTGGATAGGGAAACCCTCAATCTTATGGGTTGAAGTAGGATTCCAGGAAACCTTTGTAAAGGCTGGCTTAGCCGCCAGAATAGGCAGTTCAGTGCAGGCTTTTCTGGTAAGTGCCCTTTGGATGAGATAACCCTGTGCAGAAAGGTCTGCTAACTTCTGCCTTTTTAAGAAAAATGTTATTTTGGAGAGAGAGAGAAACCTCAATTCGTTGTTTCACTTATTCATGCATTCATAGGTTGATTCTTGTGTGTGCCCTGACCGGGGATTGAACCTACAACCTTGGTATATTGGGGCAATGCTCTAACCAACTGAGCTAGCTGGCCAGGGCCTCAGCTCTACTTTTTTGTTTGAGCCCCGTTAGCCACCAGGAGCCCTTCTTAGTAAGTGTCTTTTCTTTTCAGGGTTCAGGAATGGATGCCGAGTTCTCAGTAGGGAAGTCTTGATTGGTCCCCAAAGTAGGTCAGATCCTGGTTTCTAAGTGACTTCATAGTCGTGTACTAACTTGCCGCTTACTGGTTCAGGCTCTACACTTGTTGACACATCTATCTGATTAATTTGTTAAATTCTTCCATATGGGCACAGATTGTGTCTGGGTTTGCTTATCATTATATCCCCAGTACCTGACACCGTATTTTAAATAAATAAATAAATAAATAAATAAACAAGTGGCCCTGGCTGGTGTGGCACAGTGGATTGAGTGCCGGACTGTGAAGCAAAGTGTCGCCAGTTCGATTCTCAGGGCACGTGCCTGGGTTACGGGCCAGGTGCCCCATGGCGGGGCCCATGACAGGCAACCACATGTTGATGTTTCCTTCTCTTTCTCCCTCTCTTCCCCCACTCTAAAAATAATCTTTTAAAAAAAACATTGTAAAAAATAAATAAAAAATAAACAAGTGAATGGTGTTAGGAGGTGTTATCCATTCCAGCTTATCTATTTAGTCAGGCACTTTGCAAAACCACAGTGCTGATCATGCTACTTGCCCACTGGACAGCCCCCTCTACAGCTACAATGTGACCCAAACTCCATTCTGGCACTCCAAGCCCTTCGCAGTTTGGCCCAACCTCACCTTTCCTATCTTATGTCTTAACAGCCCCTGTCTTTCTTCCACTCTTGTTCTCCTATGTTCAGTTTCACCATTTAGCATTCTTTCTTTGGAGTGAGAATATTGATTTTACCACTTTCTAACTGTATGACCTTGGGCAAGTTATTTAACCTGAGTCTCAGTTTCCCCAGCTGTCAGAAACAAATATGTAGAGATTTGAAAAATGAGTTTACTTCAACTGCTTTTGTCCAGACTTATGTTCAAACCACTCCTTTCACCGGACCAGCATTGCTCCCATTGCCAGAACTTCACAGCTCAGTTCCAGTCCCATTGTCCACCTAACCCTCTCCCATTCCCTCCAGCTCCAGAGTGAGCCGCTCTCTTGCCTGCCTCCCTTTGCACTTGGTACAGTCACTGCTGTATTCCAGCCAGCCTTGTATGAGTTCTCTTGAGGTAATTCCCCCCAAAACCATTCCTCTCCTTCATCTCAGAAACTCCAGAAAAACCGAGGAGCATTCTTGTGTGGCCTCTGCTTCTCCACACATTATTCCACCTCCATTTGCCTGAGTTTGAAAGTAGACTCACACCTGCTCTTTTTTCCTGTGTGCACTATCAACCCAGTGCAAGATACTACCATCTGTGGCCTGGATCATTACCATAGCCTCCTGACCAAAGCTTCCCCTGCTCTGACTCTTTCCCCACACTCCATTTTGTTTTTAAGTCCTCATCCAAGAATATGTTTATTGATTTTAGAGAGGGGAGAAGGATTGGGGGGAGAGAGAGAGAGAGAAACATTAATTTGAGAGGAACATCGATCAGTTGCCTCCTGTACACGCCCTGACCAGGGACTGAACCTGCAACTTTTTGGTGTATGGGATGACACTCCAACCAACCAAGCCACAAGGCCAGGGCCCCCACACTCTATACTTCATAGAGCAGCCACGGTGATTGTCTTAAGTGTAAATCAGATCATGTTAATCCTGGGATTAAACTCCCCCAGAGGCTTCCCACAACTCTTATGATAAAATTTAAGTACATCCTTATGAACTTCATGGCCTTCTATGACCAAGATCTGTTGACCTGTCTGCATCTCCAGCCACACTTCCTGCCACTGCTGTTCTCAAGTTCATTCCAGCCATGCTGGTCTGGTCTTCAGCCTTGGGACACACCAAGATCATTCCCACCTCCAGATTTTTGAATTAGCTCTTCTGTCTGGAATGCTCTTCCCTTGATTCCTCACTGGTGGCTCAGATTATCACCTTGTGGGGACATTCCTTGACACCACATCTAAAGTAGCATTACCTTCTCCCTTCATTCTTGTCACCTATCACAGCATGATGTATCATTTTTTCATAAATCTTGCCACTATTTGAATTGTTTTCTTTAAAGTTTATGTGTATATTGTAGGACTGTCCTTTTCTTCTTCACTCCTCTATTCCCAGTGCCTAGAACAGTACCTGGTATGAATTCAATAAATGTTAGTAGTAGTAGTTGTTGTTACTCTGTATTGAATGCTTACTAGGTACCAGATATTGTGGTAAGTACCATGTGTTGTTTCATTTTCACCGCAATCTTTTGAGAAGATACTCATTTATAATGAGGAGATGGAACTAAGTGATTTTTTCTACTACCAAAAAGATAAATGGAGAAGCAGAGATTTGAACCGAGGTCCACAATCTTTTAACTACTCAGCACTTAGTATTTAGTAGGTTTTGTCGTCTTTACCTTTGTAAACCAGCCCCCTCCCAATCCAAAAAATAGGTAGAATTGAATTGCAAAATCTCAGAAACTAAGAAGTTTTGCAGTCTGGGCTAAAGGTCAAGAGATATCTGCCGGCAGGGAGAATAGTGACACCTGGCCTGCAAACTGGAGTGATGTGACATATGTTCATTCCACTAACATGTTAACCTACCGAGGGCCCATCACTTGCCAAGCTCTTTCTAGGTGCAGAGGATTACACTGCTAAGAGAATTTCACGCCTGAGCTCCCTCTGCCCAGGAAAGGGCTCTGAGGAGAAAATGGTCTGTTGGATGTCTGTTCTGTTTGGGTGCAAAGCCATCCAAGTAAGCTCTCAGGCCTTCAGAAACCAGCCAAAGCCAAGCCCAGGGCTGTGCCTCTGAGGAACTGCAGCAGGCCCAGGTGTGTTTATTTTGGGGACAGATCAATGAAAGGGAGATCAGGATCTTCCAAAGCCTGAAAAACAATCAACTCATTTCCAAAACCTCAACTACCTGAAGAAGACAGAGGTGGGTGGGGAGGTTCCTGTTATTGTTTCAGATCTAGCCAAAGAAGAACGCTTGGATTCCAGCCCTTTTTAGAGCACAGAGCACTTTCCTGAGTTCATGGAAGCCCTGTGGTTGACCCGTTAGAGGTGAGGCAGAGCTTAGTAATGGAAGGCCCATCCACTGGAAAACATCTCCTCCCCCAGAGACACATCATTCCCGCAGGCATCCTGGCTTGGCACTAAGCTCCAGTATCGCTTACCGGGAAGGAAGACTGACACTCTCCTCATTATTATGGAATTAATTCTCTTTGATTCCAACTAGAGCCAGTTCAAAACTTAAATTCCAATTCGATGCTGTGGATCAGAGGGTGATTTGCAGCTTTCCACAGAACTGACAGAAGAATGAGAACAGCAGACGTGGCAATCTGGCCATATTCTCCTTCCATTATGGAATCATATGGAGTGCATGAGTATGCTCTATTCCCATGAACTACTCAGGATAACAGCAAGAAGATCTAGTCTGGTAAGAGGTTAACAGACCATGTGTGAAGAGTCTAAATATATTCTGTTGAGTTCTGGTGATGGGAGAATATGACAAAAAGGAAGATTTAAATTCCAGAAGGCATCACGTTTTGGGATTTTCCTCTGCAGAATAAATATGCAGCAGCCTTTCTTCATCTTACAGAGGGTTTCTCAATCCATTCTTCACGCTGCCATCAGTGAATTCCACATTAGGCGAATCTGATTCAACACGCCCTCGCAGAAAACCCGTGCTTCCTACTGTCTCCCCTGCTCACACTCCGCATTCCAACCACACCGCGCTGTCTCTCACCACTCAGCGCATTGTGCTCAGTTGTCTCTGGACCTTGGCACGTGCTGCTCCCTCTGCCTACATCGATCTCTGTCTAGACACAGTTAGGTCCCTTGGCTTGGTGCTCCCCTAGTGCCTGGTACTGCCCCCTCATCCCACTTTATTGTAATTGCTTGTTCAACTGTCTGCTCTCCCCACAGACACTGCGGGGGCAGGGACCACGTCTGTCTAGTTTGCCTCTGAATCCCTAGACAGTTTCTGGCACAAAGTAGAGAGAGGAAATGGACTCATCAAGTTAGACTTTGCCAATCTGAATGATCTGTGTGTTGCCTTAAAAGCCTGGAATATACTAAGAAATGAAGACAAAAGACTAACAGGGGCGGAAATGTGAGAAAGCTGCCTAAAAGCAGTGAAAGGCATGCGCCTCCGCCTTCCTTTCTCTTCAGTTTACCCAGTTCCTGAATTTATGAGCAAAATCCCTGGATTTTTTTTTCTTTTTTTCTTTTTTTCTGATCACGGTAACAGAAGAGATTATAAATTCAGCTTTCCATCTGGTTCTTCATGGTCCAAGAAAATACAGCAATTTCAAACTCCAGGAAGATGAGTCCTCTTATCATGAAAGCTTAAGCCTAGCCTGTCATAAAATGTCCTAAGAGTAGTGTGAATCTGACTCAAGAACAAAAGTGAAGAAAGTATCACTTACTCTGTAAGGATCGATGCCTGAGTGACCCTCGAATGTTTTCTCATGGCGACTTTCCCCTCTGGCCTTCAAAGCCAACCTGCCCGATTCAACAGCTGGTCCTTGCTTCTCTTTCTTTCTACTGGTGCTAACGGGCTCCTTGTCATGAGGCTCATCATCAGTTAGTGCATCACAGAATGGGCTGAAGGAGGGAAGCTGGACGTCCAAGGGAGCACTTAAACATCTGTCCTCATCCACTGTCCAAAACCTGCTGCTACTTCAATGCAAAGGTGATGGGTGTGCTTTTTAATGTCTTATGTTAGAACCAGGGTTAACTGAGAATTGCTGGTGAGAGAGAAAATAAGAACGGACTCCTCCTATACCTAAAAACATCACGTGAGACACTCAGGCATGCTCAGGAGTCAGCCTGATTTTGTTCGCCTGGCCCTAGGCACTCCTCTGCTCCTGGCAGGAAAAAAAAATAGGATAAAGGTTCTGAAAAACCATCCACAGGCTGGTCTCCTGGTATTTGGGGTCAAACTGGAGAAGGGAATTTTTAGAACTGTGCTAGAAATACCAGCTCTGGAGAGATCAGACAGCCAGTTTGAAAGTTTTGGGCAACTGGGATAAGCATCTGGACTCTGGGTACATTTCTGAGCCTTCTTTGGGGTCCCTCTGAAGTTTATCCAACTTGAATAAACCTTCCAAAAAGCTGGGACCATTAAAAAGACTTTCTTTGGAAGTCCCTTGGGATGTGTGTGCCCTGCTACTTTCTCACAGGGCCGCCAGCCCATTCGCATAGGGATCTGAGAAGGAGAGGAAGAGAAACTTGGGACGGAATGTTTCTGTAATATTCAACTTAACTTTTTCTCCTTCCTAGCCTGTTTACGTATGGAAGAGACAGGACATAGATCACCAGGCTCCCAGCCGGCTTTGAGGACCATAAGCTTAGATCGGATCATGGCTTGCCTATGACCCCTTTGTCCGGATGCAACCTGTTTCTGGAAGCCTAGATACCTGTTAGATTAACAGAATAACAAAAGCTGCCATTTGCAGTCCAGGAGAGCTGGTGACAAGGCCATGCATCAGTCCAGGCAGGAGGTTCCATCCCACTTCCCAGAGAAGCATTCCCCAGTTGCCTAGGCCAGGGGCTGCCTCGTCTCTTTCCTCCTGTTTCACGGGCTCTTTAATCACAGAATTACTGGAGCAGCAAGAAGAGGCTGAGTCCCTGGAAGTGCTGCCAGGCAGACGAACACACTTCTGCACAGGATGGCATTTCCCACAGTGCAACCTGGATTAGCTTTGGGTCACACTCAAGAAATGGGAAGAGTAGGTGGGGTACCACACTCATAAAGGGAAGGGCCGTTATGAGCAGGAAGTGGGTCTGCAAACCTGCTGTTGGCTCACTGAAGGGAGAGGCTGAGTGAGGCCCTTTCTCCAGCTCTGAGAGGTCTGCTATGAAGGACATGCGGTCCAGAGACCAGAGGACAGTTCAGAAGCGGCTGGAGAGCTGAGCCGAGGGCACTGGAGACAGCAGTATCCCCCAGCTCCACCGCTTTGCCACAGATGATGAGGGAGATGCCCTTTTGACCCTGGGACCAAAGGACAAAGGAGGATGACAGGGAGACCAGCTGTAGCACCAGAGAAACCCCACTGGAAGTGGGACTACGGAGAGTTTTGTTTTTTATTTATTGATAAAAAAATATTAATAGCAATTAAAAAACAAAACATTCACAACCCATCACAGATTCTTATAAGTTTTAGCCATTTGTTCCCAAAGGAGTCCTTCATCTAACGGAGACGGTGATTTCAGCCAAAAGGCCCCTTCATGTTTTTCATGGGTGGGTACTGCTGCTCCATCGGCATGGCCCCAAAGCAGTCAGAGGGGCTACAGTGGCCAGCCTTGCCCGGGGGGCCCATGGGACCCGGGGGGCCAGGGATGCCAGGAATGCCCTGCTGGCCCATCGGTCCAGTTGCACCCATCTTGCCATACCCTGGAGGACCTTGAGGACCTAGGGCGGGAAGAGCCAGAAAAGGAAAATTGGGAGATCCAGACTTTAGAAGAAAGAATGGTCATAGTCAAAAATACCTTACATGTGACAGATACTTCTCAGGTTACAACACCTTCTCATGGAGACCTGATCGGACCCTTACATTAGTGTAACAATAACAGCAAAACTACTGGCTCGTTTTATGGAGGGCTTCTCTGTGTCCGGCACAAGGCTGAGTGCTTTGTATGCATTATTCATTGACTCTTCGCAACAATTCCGTCAGAAAGGCACTATTACCTCATTTTGCACATGAGGACACAGGCTCAGAGAGGTTGCACATGTGCTAAGTCATGAAGCTGGGTCTCAGAGCCAGGTCAGCAGGCGCCGGTCATTCTCTTTCAAGCTATACAGCCTGGCTTAAGTGATCTGGTCAAGATCATACAGCCAGTGAGATGCCAAGCAGAACTTGAACTCACGTTCCCTTGTCCCACAACATCCAACTCTATTCCACTGGGTCATGCTGGCCCAGCGTAGGACCTGAGGGCAGACACTGGGTCTTCCACTCCCCACACATATGCCCTAGCGTATTGTCTTGCTCATAGTCATGTTACTATAAATGTTGGTTGATAGGCCTGTAGTTACTTGAGGTTCTACATAACTGTGTTATATAAGGAGAAAAAAGAAAGGAGATCTCAGCTGCTCTAGATTCCTGGTCTTAAATGCTGGCTTTTCCTACCTGGAGGGCCAGGGGGTCCGCTGTCTCCTGCGATGCCAACACCAGTGTCCCCCTTTTCACCTTTGGTACCAGGCAATCCTGGGACAAAAGAAATAAAATAAGAAGTCCTATTCCTGAGAGAAAAATGACACACTCAGTTGGATTATCAGTAACACACAAACATGCACAAACATATTCACAGCTGGCCTCATACAACGCTCACATGTGCCCCAAAGAACTATGGGTGCGCTTCGGCAACCAGAGGGCAGGTTTACCTCTCATTCCTGGCAGGCCCTGCCGTCCTTCTCTGCCAATCTGACCGGGGAGCCCAGGTGACCCGGGAGCGCCTGGCCGACCGGGAGCACCATCCTTCCCGGGGGGCCCTGGTCGTCCCGGAGCTGCCGCCACCTCCATGGGGAACTGAATCCTGGAGGTGTAGTAAGCCATCCGCTCTGTAAGAAAGGACAGGGACAGGTCATAGGGCACCCCAGGGACTCAGACTGACCACAGATGCTGCAGAAAGGCTGTCAGCATGTAGTCCAAAGCAGCTTTTCTTCAGAGGGACATCAGAGCAAGGACCGTGGGGGTTTGCTAAGGGGCCTCCGTGCCCTGGCCTCCGTGCCCTGGCCTCCGTATTGCTTTTCACGGTGATCCTTCTGCAGCACAGATCTAATTACAGCATCTTTTTTCTCCAACACCTTTCGTTAGTTCACCACTGGCTTCAGATGAAAGTCCAGACCCCTAGCTTGACATCAGAGGTCTGCTCCCCAGTCACAATGTCCAGCCCCCTGAGGATAGGGTCCCTGTTTTCCCCAGTCCCTAGTATGTCAATGCTGGACGAGCAAATGAACAAGGAAAAAAGCTTAACATGAAACCACACCAGCCATCTTACAGTTGCTGCTGCCCTACTATTTAGAGCTCACTTCATGCAGACTCATTTGATGTCAATTTTCTTGTCTGTCTCCTTTGCTCCAGTGGGGGCTGGGAGAGGGCAGGAGGGAATCATTTTATCTCTGAACAGAGCATGTGACAAGAAACATCTGAAGTCTTATTGAACATATGCTGGAAAGGGGGGGGGTGGGAGGATCAGGGGTAGGATATTGAGCTTTAAGGAAAAGGAGGCCAGGGCAGGTCAGAGAGGCAGCTGGGAAGGGTAAGCAGCACCCAGTGCCACCCAGTGGCTGCCAATTACCATCAAACATTTTAATGATCTCTTGTCTGATGAATCTCTTGATTTCATCGTAATTCACCATGTCTCCCTGAGGAAAGAGAAGAAAACCTGCCTCAATCACACTTCCAAGCCTCCCCTGGGAATAGATTTAATGGAAAGGAAGGATGGGGAAGGAAGCAAAGTTCCCAGGAGCCACCCACAGATACTTAATCCTAACCACTTCCCCTAAATGGTCCAAAACATTTTGTGCTTCATTATATTTTTCTGGGGAGAGGGTCCCAACCTGCACCCCCCCGCCCTACCCCGCCAAGCCTCCCACACACAGTTAAGAGCCACTCATATGGGAATCACGCTCTTTCCTGCAGAATGTCAGCAGGAGGCTCTAAAATAGTCCGTGCTCCACCCTCCATGTCCAGACAGTGTCTGTGGCTGCCAGCCTCCCCTTACCATGGAGCCAGGCACCCCGGGCAACCCAGGGCTCCCCGCAGGCCCTGGAGATCCAGGGTGGCCTCTCTCTCCTGCAGGACCCGGTGGCCCAACAGGCCCCATGGGGCCACTCTTCCCAGGTCCACCAGGCATGCCAGCTCTTCCTTTCTCTCCTGCCTGGCCCTTCTGTCCTGAAGGTCCTGGATCGCCCTGCAAGGACAGGAAGTCACAGTCCAGCACTGCCAAGTACTATCAAGTCCGCCTCACGATGTCTGAGCATCTGCCCCTCTCTCCATCCTGCCACCAGGCCCCCAGCATCTCCCTCTGGACTGTGGCCATGGCACCCTTACAGGTTGCCTCACTTCACTGCCAGGACAGTCCCTCTGGAAGACAGCTCTGCCGGTGTTACTCTGTACTTTATTTGGGCCCTCCAAATAAAGGCCCAACTCCTGGGCCAGGCGTTCGGGACCATTCCTGATGGGTCCTGATCACATCTTCTCCAGCCCCAACTCCCTTCCCTTAGACCTCCCTCTAGGCCTCAGAGGTTATATTCTCTGATTGGACCATACTGAGCCAGTCTGCCCTGCCTGGATGCCCTTCCCCTCCTCTCTACCCAGTGCACTCCGCCTACCCAGCTGACATGTTCCTGTTTTTTGTGTGGCTTCCCTGGCCTCCAAGCTGGGTTGGGTGTGCTTCCCTCTGATCCCACAGCACTGTGTCTAATTTTCAGTAAACCTGCCATCTAGTATAAGTGTGACTGAACTAAATGAGCACTTACTGTTTAGGGACCTCTTTTTACTCAAGGCAAGGACAGAGGGCCTGGGATAGAAGCAAGATCAAGAGCATGCTTGCAGAATGAATGAATCAATGACCCAATCAATCAATGAAGAAGAGAATGAATTTGAAATTTACATTCCCCCAACGATAACAAGAGCCCTGGAACAGCCCCATTTGAGAAGTTTTCAGAGATGAAGTTGCTTCAAGCTCTGCCCACTTCCCCCCCAGTCTACTGGCCTTCCTGTGGGTCCCTTCCATGGCTAAAGTCATAGCTGCGAGCCAGGATTAACCAACTCGTGAGCTTTTCCTCTCAAACCCAGCCAGTGCCCACTCACCTTTGGACCAGGGGATCCATGGAATCCCTGTTTTCCAGGGGGTCCCTAGAGCAAAGCAAAAGTCAGAGGTCAAGTCTATGCAGCATCTCCAAGCCACCCAGGGGAGACATGTCCTATGAAAGGACTACCTTCCACAGCCTCAGGCCCCTATGCTGGGCCTAGCTGGGTTCTGTATAAGAAAGGACAACAGCTTCTCTGTTAACAAGATGGTAAACAGCTGGAAAGGAAACTGGTGTCCCCTAGGGCATGGCCTTGTATGATTATGCTGGTTGGGTCCCTTGTCACTAAAGAAAAGAGGTGAGCCCTGGCTGGTGTGGCTCAGTGGATTGAGCACCAGCCTGCAAACCGAAAGGTCACTGGTTCAATTCCCAGTCAGGGCACATGCTTGGATTGTGGGCCCGGTCCCCATTTGGGAGCGTGCAAGGGGCAACTGACTGATGCTTCTTCTTTCACACATCGATGTTTCTCTCTCTTTCTCCTTCATTTCCCCCCCTCCCTAAGAAATAATAAATAGAATCTTTTGAAAAAAACATTTCATTTTTTAAAAAAAGTGAGAAGTCAGAATGAAAGGGCCAACCTGCAGCCTACGGGAGGGCCTGGCAAGCACTGTGCCCAGGAAATGTCTGTTTGGAATTTATTTTTATTATTGTCCCTTTTAGACCAGATACATGGTTAAAAAAGTAGTGAAAAACAAGTCTCGCTCTCCCCAGAGCAACAAGGGCACCAGTGTCCTCTGTATCTGTCCAGAGATAGCCTGCATCCTGAGCGCAGTCACTGAGCAAACGAACAAAGAGGGGTCAGGGCAAGGCCAGGAGCAAGAAGTAGCGCTCCCACAGGAACAGGAAAAATCAGCACAAACGGTACCTCTTTGCCAACGGCGCCATCCGCACCAGGCTCACCCTGGGAAGTAAGAGCAATAACGATGTGATGAGTGCCAGCCCAGCTTGATGTCACATCTCACCTTGCCCACCCAGCATGCCTAGCCCCGCTACCACCAAGGGGTCATGACCGCCCCCTCCCCATCAGACACTCCGGGCCCAGGCATGGAAACTTAGACCTCTACCCCACACTCCTGTCTCGTCCCGGAGCCCCACACTGACAGCTGCAGGCTGCCCCCTGAGTGCGCCCTATGAAGGAAGAGCTGACTACACCTCTCTGCTCTTTGCTGGAGATCTAGCATCTTGCATACTCTCTGGCTCTGAGTATATGTTACATGTTTGTTGAATGAAGGTGTGAACCAGAGATCTGGTCAGGTGAGCCTGCCCCCTCCCTAGGCCAGGAGGGGCTTCGTCCTGGGCCCTGCCTGCCCACTTCTGGTGGGTGCTGGGGAAGAGGAGTCTGTGATTGCAGGGCAACCTGGCAGATTCACCCAGGGGCCCTGGAAGCTCCTGTGCAGGCAGGGAAGGCGGAGGGCTGGAGGGACCTGCCTGCCCAGGGGCCCTGGCAGGAATCAGAGTGAGTGGGAGGCGAGACTTGGCCCTCTTGGCACATGGGCTGACAGGTCACCTCTGCTGGAGTCATACACACCCCATTCTAGGCCACCAGCCCCAGGGTCATTGCTACTGTTCCCCAGAAGAAAGCTTGCTTTGGTGGAAAGTGCCCTGACCGGGACGGGGGGTGTGGGGGAGACCTGGGTTCCTGCCTCAGCTCCATCCACCGACTTTCCACCCCTGAGACTGACAGCAGTTCCACTTGACATGGTTCACCTGTCTGGAACCTTTAGAAGAGGGAGTACTGCAGTGTGGCTAAGTACACAAATTCTGGAATCAGACAGGCTTTCCCACTCACCAGCTGTGTGACTCTGCACAACCTACTTAACCTTGCTGAACTTTGGTTTCCTCATCTGTATAATGGGGACCATCAGATCAACTAAATACGGTTGCGGGACAGATTAAATGACAAATGTCAAGCACTTAGCGCATCATTCAACACATCAGCAGTGGTTTCTGAGTTGCTGAGAAAGCTTCAGTAATAGCACTGCATTTCTAGTTCCTGACATTTATAAATTTTCTGTGGTTATCAACGAGCTCCCCTGGAGAGGGGTGGGGGAAGGGTCCAGTGTCCCCTGACTGACACCTAGTGGAGGGAGCTCTCCAAGTGGCACTGGCACGTGGTCAGAGGCAGTGGCCTGGTATGCAGTTGGCGCAGTATCAGCTACTGAGCTTGTCCCTTCTTCCAAATATGATGGGATCCTCAAGCACAAGCTCATGCTGCCCTTTTCCACACAAACAACCTCTCCTCCCCCGGAGACCCCACAGTGCAGTGCTGTGCCCAGCTGACAAAGCCGACTGCCTTTCCCCTGGGGCTGTGCTCTAAGAGGCGGGGTCTTACCGGGGGACCAGGGTGTCCAGGTGGGCCAGGCTGGCCCGGAAGGCCTGAAAGGCCCCTTTCTCCAGTGGCTCCCCGGTCTCCTTTTGGGCCCTGGAGAAAAGGAAGGAGGATGGGGAGAGGGGAGGGGAGAGACAAAAATGAACTTGACAAAGTCAGAGGCAGACATTGTATGCCGGGGACCACACCCACCACCCCCAGGCCCCACAGGGGGAGCTGGTGCTTCCTGGACTCGAGGCAGGACCCTGGGATGGCCTCCAGCCCTCTCAAAGGCCTTCACCGCGTGCTGGCTGGGGAGATCTCTGGAGACGAGAGGTTGACTGGGAAAGGAGAGGGATGGGGACAAGCTGTTCTCCACCCCCAGCTCCCTGCAGAAATCCCGCAGCAGAGCAGGGTCAAACTTCTGGGAGGGAGGGGTGGCGGGGGCCTGTCACTCACCACTGCAGAAATCCCAGCTGGGCCTGGCTGGCCGGGAGGCCCCGGTGGTCCCTAAAGATAGACAAAGTCAGTGGGTTGAAAAAAATCTCTAGTAACAAGGCCCCTGGGAGGTGTGGAGGGACGACAGCAGGAACAAGCCCTAAACTTCATCTTAAATCCTCCTCCCCTTCGGGCTTTGCACTTAAGCGTCTGCCAGAAGATTTGTGCCGGAGCTGAGGCCTGGGGGCCCCTGAGCTCACCGCGCCCTTGCGCCTGCTGCACTCACGGCGGAACACCTGGGGCTGTGCTGAGGGATGACCTGGGAGCCAGGACCCAGTGCAGGCGGCAGAGGCGTGAGGGGCTAGGGTGTTTTCTGAGCCCCCCACCTTCCTTCAGTACTGTGGGAGGAGCAAAGAGCAGAAGCTGGGGGTCTGCACAGCAGGGTGTGAGGGGCAGGGGCTCAGCACCCACCCCAGGCCTCCCCGGTCTCCTGCTGCTCCCCTACCATGGGAGGACGATGAGACTCGAACACGCAGGAGTGCTCCTGCCCTGCCCAGTCTGGCCCTTGTCCAACTGCCCTCCTGCATCGCTCCACATCTTCGGCTGAGGCACAGCTCCAAGGTCACCTCCCTGAACACAGCTACATAGAGCTACTCAGGGCTCCCAGGGCACACAAGTCTCTCTCAGAGCACACCCCCTGCACACTCCCAGACGGAACGTTCTGGAGGCGTGGTTTCTGCCCTACTGTTCTGAAGTCTCCTGGGCAGGGATGTCCAGCACTGGGACTGGCGCCCAGCAGGGGGCTGGGCTGGATGGACAGAGGTGAGAAGAGGAACCTTGCGCCCTCCTTGTCCCTAGATCCTGAATAAGTCTCCAGTGGGAACATGATTCAGAGTATGTGACTCCTCCTTCCATCTGTAGCACTCGGGGGTTTGAGGTAGGCCTGGGGTCCCCAGCTGGGGGTCTCTGGTACCCCTGAGACCTCTAAAACTAGTGCTGAAGACCCGAGAGTTCCATTTCTTGGTCGTGATCTATTATTAGCATTTCCAAAAGCCTACAACTCTACAGCCAGCCACAGTAGGGCTGCAATAAAAAGCCAGTGTACGTATTTGCTTTTCTCTGAAACTCTACCCGCTTGCCACACTCGCACTGATCAAAGGCGCCCATTGGCAGTCATCTATGTTACTATGGGTAAAATACATGGAAAATCCATTATTGCTTAATAAATGTCCTCTCCAAGTTGTCCTCTCTCAGTAAATAGACCACCCACTTACCCAGCTACCCAACACAGGAGTCACCCTTGATTGCTCTCTTTCTACTCCTCCCTGCATCCCCACCCCATGCAGGTCATTAGCAAGTCCTCTGCCTCTAAACACACGCCAGATCTGTGCACTGCTACCCCGCTACCCAGCCCCGCTTGCTGCCCACCTCCACTCGCGCTCCGCCCTTGCCCGCACACCATCTGCATCATGTTCTCTCCAAGTTCAACTTTCCAGTGTCCACTCCCATCCTCCTTGAACTCCACTCCAGCCAAGATGATGTTGGGCTCCCCAAATCCACCAAGCCCCTCCCCGACTCAGGCTCTTTGCATCACCTGTCCTCCCGCCCCCCCCCCCCCCCCCCACGCAACCTGGAAGCTCTTCCCCGAGACTGCTGGACAGCTGGCTCCTTCTTGTCAGGGATTCCTCTCAAGTCACCTCTAGTACCGCCCTGTGACATCACGTCACTTCTGAATTAGTTTGTCTGTCTGTTGTGCCTGCACAGAAGCTCTGGGATCAGGGGAGCATGTCTGTTTTCCTCACTGCCTTAGTCCTAAGCCTGGAACCATGCCTGGTGTGGCGCAGGTGCTCAATAGTTATTTGCTGAATAACTGAATGATCTTTGTTTGATAAGTAAATTCAAATGTACCCAGAAAATAAGAAAATGGCAAAAAGCCTGGGAACCACTGGGCTGAGTGAGCCAAAGCCCCTCATAGCTCTACGCAGCTGGGGGCTGCGCCCACGGTCAGGTTATCACTAGCTCTCCTATTGCCACCCAGCTCCAACAGAATCCCAACTCTTGTAGGGGCAGAGACAAAAACAGTGAACTCACAGCGTGGCCAGGGGGGCCGGGCCTTCCCTGGGGTCCCATGGCACCAGGCTCACCCTGCAGGGGCCAGGAAAAAAGAAGAAAAGACATAGAAACAGAATTATACACAGTTGGCTGTTAGGTGGAAGAGGGCTGAGAAGAGCAGGTAGAACACCAATAGTCCCAGGAACCAAAGTGGGCCCTGGCCCAGGCCTAAGCCTTCCAGGGCCTTCCAGGGCACCAGCCCTCCCTGTGAGTATGGTTAGAGAGCCAAAGCAGAGGCCCCAGCCGGAGATGTCCAAGCCCTGCCTTTGTAGGCTAGTGACCCAACACCACACAGAAAGGGGAAGCAGTTACAACCCTTAAGAGGAGGGCAGAAGACAAAATGTGCAGTGTTGGGCAAAACCTTCCCAAGCAGGCCAAGGAGAGAAGACAGCCACTTCACCAGTGAGCGAGAGGAAGTGGCTGCATCCCAGCTCAGCGGAGCCCGGGGGCTGACCAGAGGCAGATCCCCAGCGCTTACCTCCGCTCCCGGCCGGCCGCTGCTCCCCGGGGGACCCGGCTGCCCACAGTCACCCTAAAAGACAGAGGGAACTGGAGATACCACACTGCCACCTGGCTCCTCCCTAAGCTGGCCCCACACCACAAGGTCCCGGCCGTGTGCCCCAGCCCTGACCCGAGGTTCTCTGACACCCTCAGGCTGGTAGACGGGAGAAGCTCTGACGCAGCCTGCCCGGCAGCAGTGGCCTCAGGAGGCTTCGGTGCTGGGATGGCATCTCAGCCAAGGGTCAGGTGGTATGTCCACTCTGTCTGGGATGCTACATCTGCCTGGGGTCAAGCTTTGACAAGAGCCAAGAAAACCTGCCTGGCAGAGGTCACCAGGCCCTTACCTTTGGTCCTGGGAGGCCAGGAAGTCCCGGTTTCCCCTTGAAACCCTGGAAAAAAGGCAGGGAGTTGCCATGTTCCACACCTCTACCAGAGGCCCCTTCCCATCCTCCTTCCTCAGGTTAAACAAATTAGACCAACATATAGAGGGTCTGAGCTGCCCCACGCACCGAGGCAGAGCTGCACCGACTCAGCTTTGGCACCTCCCAGCTCCCAGCCCCTCCCTGCAGCTCAACTTACTGGGGGTCCCATGAGTCCAGGTGGGCCAGTGAGACCGGGGTCTCCCTAGGGAAAGAGATCAGGGGCATTGAGACAGGAGCTCTGTCCAGCTTGTACCCAACTCATTCACCAATGTTTTCTCCCTTCTCCCGCCCCTCCCCCAGCTGTCCCAGGGTGGAGGGAGGCCCTGTGGGGGCAGAGGAAAGACTCCCTGCCAGGCTCGGCGCCTGGCTGGCCGTGGCCCCTTCTTGAGTCCCATCTCATTCTCTGGGCTTCAGTTTTCCTTCTTTTGTGTACAGTATGGGGTTGACCTGGATGCTCTGCCCTTTGCCATGACCCCACCCCTTTCAGATTCCCCAGCAAAATCAGACCCAAGGAGCCAGGCTGGCTCTAGTTCTTCTGTGTCTGCAATCTGGTTTCTAATGACACTAGCCTAGTTGGGTCCCTTGGGTTAATCCATCCACTCACAAGCTGGGAGCCTTGGTTCCAGACAGCAGGAGCTGCGGATGGGGCCAGAGTCCAGGTCCCTTATGCTGCTGTGACCATCCAGGCCACCCTGCCTGTGCAGGCTCTGAGCCAGGCACCCGACACAAGTGGGGCCCCAAGGGACGCTAGTCCCTTCAGTTGTCTGAGTTTCTAGATAGGAATTTACTCATGTCACTGTCCTGCCTTCAATGAGGCCTAGCTCCTCCAAGCTGGCTAAGGCTACCGGAGAGCTGAGATGCAAAGGCGGTCAGGTGCAAGGGGGGAAGGGGGGCTGGGCTAGAGGCAGACCTAGGGAGCGGGCGGGCACCCTCGACAGAGGGGGGCCACTTCAGTTCCCTTCGTTGAGGGCTCCCTTGACTTTGGCTCTTAGAAGCGGGGGTGGGGGGTGGGGGCCATCCCTGCCCATCATCTTACCCTCAAGCCGGGCTTGCCGTCCTTCCCGTCCAGACCATCCAGGCCGGCAGGGCCCTGGGAACGGGAAAGAGGCGTTTCCACATGCTAGGCTGGAACCCTCAGAGGGGGAGGCCTTGCCTGGCCCCTCCAGCCTCTGCACCTCTCACCCATCTCCCAGCCCTACCAAATACACGCGCGTGCACACATGCTTAGGCACATATAACCCACGGCTGTCAGGCTAAGGGTGCACACACTCACCTGAATTCCGGGAGGTCCTGGTGGTCCAGGGGGACCAGGCATGCCTGACGGGCCTCGAATCCCTTCACTGCCCTGGAAACAGGCCCCCCAAGGAAGTCAGCAGGGCCTCATCCCATGCTGGAGACAACAAGGCCCTGGGCTACACGTTCAGTGACTATAGCAAGTTGGGAGAGCTGGCTTCCGATCCCCATTCTGTTCTGGGCTAAGTAGGTATATTTCACACACCACTCCCCCAGGAGGACCCATCTTTATCTGCAAGGCATTCCTCACTGCTCTGAGAGGAAGGGACAGAGCCTATGAAGTCCAGTGTCTTCTTTAGGGTTGACCGGGGGCTGGCATGGTGGGTGCTCAGAAGCGTGTGTCAACTAAAGGCAGTCAATTCACATCGGTCCCAACAAGGCGCCAAGCACTATCTAGCCTCTGATTCTCCAAGATGAAAGCAGAGTGGCTCCTATTCTCAAGGAGCTTGCAGTCCAGTGAGAGTCACAGGCTCACAATCAGGGGCAAGACAAGAGTCCCTGCGCTCTGCGAGCTCAGAAGGAGAGGCTCACTCTGGCCAGGGTCAGGGAAAGTATCACTGAAGTGTCCCCGGATGCTAGGCTCTGAAGGATGTCCAAAGTTTGGACAGGCAGGGAGGGAGAAGAGGGCATGCCAGACGGAACTTCAGAGAGGGGTGAGGACTTGGAAGTGGTCATGTGCCTGGCCTAGCCCAGGGTGTATCGGGAGCCTGTGTGTTGGGTGGGAGAGGAGGCTGGAGACGTTAGAGCCTGGTGGGCTGTGGGCCCTGAACACCATGCTCAACTTTATTAAAAAGACCTGTGATTTTCAAACTGCACTCCTCAGAATCGTGGGGGTTCCTGGACGGCCTCTGGGCTAAGGGCACAAAGTGGGGCCAGAAGGTGGGACTCAAGGACACTCTACCCTTGCCTTAGCCAGGGAAGCTCCACTTGTATCTGTTTTAGAGATTGAGGGCTCACATGAGCTTTTTGTGATGGAAAGACTTGAGGACTACAAAATAAAGCGGAAACTACTGCTACAGGCACTGGGGAGCCATTAAAGTTTCAAAGAAGGGGAGTGATGGGAACTGCCGTTTGAATTAGAGTGTTTACGGAAGAAGGGCGGGAGGCAGGCATCTCCGTGAAGAGGGCTGCTGCGTCCTCCGCTGCTCTGGAGCAGCTTCTGTGGGGTGGCCAAGGGGCAGGGACCCCAGCACAGAGAGAGGAAAAAGAGCTCCGGGTGGCACTGCAATGCCACCAGCCACCAGGAGGGGTCAGCCCAGCCCCAGAAAAATGTCAGCTCCACAGGGAACTGGGAAGGCCAACCCCTGGCCAGAGGTTTGGGACTGTCTGCAATGACCCACCTAAGGCAAGTAGGCAGCCCTGGAGTGTAGAGCCAGCACAGAGGGCTCTGGCAGTGGCTGCCACGCAGGTCCCTCCCAGAGAAGGGCAGGGGGGTGGCCCCCACAGCTGCCTCGACCTTGGCTGGTAGGCACTGGTTCTGGGAAGCCTGGGGGGCTCTGCTCGGCTGGGAGGGGAGTCTCAGCTTTGCCTCTAACTTGCTACGTGCCCCTGGGATGCCCTGGCCTATCTGGGCCTCATTTCCTTACTTGAACAGTGAGTACTTAGGCCAAGACAAGCCCTTCTACAAGTCATTTCTGCTGTGCTGGGTGGGCTCCCAAATGAAAGAGGGTCCCCACGAGGATGCTCACAAGCCATCTTGGGGCCTCATTACACCACCCACCTGTCACATCTGAGAAGCCCAGAAGTTGGGCTGAGACAGGGACATCAGCCCTCCCCAGACCAGGGCAGCTTAGCAAGCCAAACCTGGGGCAGTCAGTGTGGGGGCTGCCCAGACTACTGCCCCCTCCCACTCTCGTCACTAGGCCACTCTCTGGGCCCTTGGGGACAACGCCTCCAGGATAGCTTCTTCCTGCTCTTGTCAGGCCCAGAAGGCAAATGCCCAGGGTCCTCCCTGCTGTGGGACTTCTGGGGCTTCCAGGGCCGGCAGGCTTCCTCCTCCCCTCGACTCCCCACCTCCCCCAGAGGAGAGGAAGCTGGCCTCGGCCGGCCTGTCACATCCTAGTCTCCCAGCTCTCACTACGCCCCTCTGCATGCTCCCACCCACCCCTTTCCATCAGGCAGGGACCTGGCCTCAGAGGCTGGCGGGAGTTCTGGGCCCATCCCTAGGAGTCCACTGGTTTGCCCTGGGGCCCCATTGCTAGGATGGGAGTTGCTGGGGCCATCCTGGAGGGCTCCCATTCCCCTCCCTGGATGTGACTGAGGCAGTTCTTGGGTTTCCGAAGGCTTGCCGCTATGGGTAAAGCAGGGGTGTGGGAGCCCAGTGGCTCAGATCTGTGACTATGGCCAACCGGCGGTCCTGCTCACCTTTTCCGCTGGGGGGCCGGGTACGCCAGGTGCTCCAGCTTTGCCTGGGAATCCAGGGGGACCCTGTATCAACAAAAGCACAGGCAGGAATGAACATGGGGCTGGAGGGGGAGCTCCCCCGCCTTCTTCCTGCTGCATGTGCTTTACTGCTGTTCATGCTTTCTAGAAACGCCATCCAGGAGCATTGAGTCCGCCGGCCGGCTGGGCTGGGGCCCACCCAGGAGGCCTGCTCTCCAGGTCCCGGCTCCTGGAATCAGGCCTGGCCACCCAGGCTGTTCCTCCCGTGCCTCTTCCCTCCCCTGCACAGGCCCGTCCTGCTGAGTCTGGCCTGGCCAGGCCTGCCCCACTCCCAGATGGGATCACATCAGAGAGCGGGCTCTGATCCACTCACCGGTGGGCCTGGAAAGCCTGGCTGGCCTTGAAATCCCTGCGGGAAGAAGTGGGGGACAGTTTTCTGCACTGCCCCTCCTGTCCTACCTTGCCAGGAGGTAGAAAGAGTGACGGGGTGATATTGCTTCTAGACATGAGGCCTTGCCTTCCACTCTGCCCAAGATGGCCAGCAGGTGAGGCTCTGGGCATGAGGTGGGAGGTTACACCTCGAGATGGATTGGGGCTGGGAGGCTAGCGCTGGTCCCCACCGATGGGAGGACCCAGCCCCCCATCCCCACCCCCCACCTCCCCCAGCCATCCGCTGTGGTCAGAAAGGCGAGCCACTCACCTGGTCACCCTTCTCACCCGAGCTGCCTTGGGGTCCTCGCTCTCCTCGGGGACCCTGTCATCACAGAGGACAATGCAGCTGGAACTCATCATTCCTACCCTCAGATACCAGGGCAGGGCAGGACAGGGGCCAGGACCAGGGGTCCCCAGGTCCACATTTCCCCGCTCCTCCCTTACTCACCGCTGGGCCTGGGGGACCTGGGAGGCCTTCGGATCCTGGAGGGCCCTGGGGACACAGAAGAGAGAAGTCCATCACCCTGACAGGAGGAAGTGGGCAGTGCGAGGATGGGACAGGGAGCAGAGGCAGGAGACGTGGCGGGAGGCCTGCCTAAGCCGGCAGGACTCCTCCCCCTGGTCCATTCAGGCTTCCCCTCTCTTGTCTGAGCTACTGGACTAGCCTCTTAACTAGTCCTGCCCCCTCCTGGCTCACTCCATTCCAGCCGGCAACTGGCTGTCATCTCTTCTTCAGCACAGCTTGGGTTGTAATGCTCTTGCTTCAAAAACTTCCATGGCTCCCGTCTGCCGACCGAATGAGGAGCGCACCTGCCACCAGCGCTGGGTTTGAGGTATTCTGTGATCCAGTGCTGACCCCCCGCCCCTCGCCCTGCCCCTTCATTTCCCTCTTCCTTTCTTATCTTCTGCCTCGCTTGGTCAGCCCGCTGTTCCCTGAACACACTCCACATCCACACCCGGGGCCTTTGCACAACTGTACCCTCCACCTACCGTGCCCTACACTCCCTGACCCCTTCTAGGTCTCTCAATCATTAGATCATTATATGGCTCAAAGCTGCTCCTTCAGTGCCCCCTGCCATGGTCTCTCCCTCTGAGGTTCCCCAGTACAGACAACCATGAGCCTCCCTCCCCCACTTCATTCAGACCTGAGCTCAAACACCACCCCTTCAGAGGCCTGCCTGACCCTGTGTAACAGTCCAGCCCACTGCTCCTGCCCCTCTCCAAATTTCATCGGTCTCTCTCTCATTATTTGTATGTGTTTGTTTATTCATCTGTTATTTGCCTCCCTCACTGGGATGTAAGCTCCATGAGGGCAGGGGACTCAATTGCCTGTTTTATTCACCATAGCACCCTCAGAGCCTGGCGCTGAGCAGGCCCATGAGAAATGTTTGTTATTGAATAAATGCACAGCGGGGTTGGCCGCACCCACTGGGGCCTCGCTGACACATGTGAGGGGGAAGGTAAGAGCAAGGTTTGGGAGGTTTATCACAAACAGACTCAGGGTTGCATGCAGGCTGCAACCTAACTCATTCACTAGCTGCGGGGCCCTGCGGGAGCCACGTCACCTCGAGAGCCTCAGTGTCCTCCTCTGACAACAGCCCAGCCCCTGCGCTCAGCGCAGGCCTGGCTCTGCAAAGGGTGGACCTGGGCTTGTGAGGGTGCAGCTGGCCAGGTGGCCAAGCTGGGTCTAGATCCCAGGCCCGGGCATCTCGGGCCCACCCCGTCAGCCTGCTTTTGCTGGAGTGGGAGTGGGGGGTCTCCTGTCAACTGACTCCTGGTCCCCTTCCCCTTGGCAACCCGCGCCATTGACTCCATGAATCCTGTTGAGATTCTCCTCACAGCTCCAGCCACCAGCCTGAGCTGACTGCTTGAGATGCAGCTGGAGTGACTCAGGGGGCAGGGAATCAGGGGTCGTGTCCCCCGCTCCGACAGGCTCCTGGGAAAATCTCTAGGGGCAGGCAGGGCCCGGCTCTGTTTGAAGCCCTGCTCCCACCCCTGCACTGGGCTGCGATGCAGACTCACCGATTCTCCCTTCTCTCCTGAGGGCCCAGTGTAGCCGCGCTCTCCCTTGAGGCCCTGACAAGTGAGCAAAGAGAGAGAGTGGAATTAGGCCCGTGGCCTGCTTGTCATGACGCTAATGTGAGGGGTGGAGCCTGCAGCCGGTACCTGGATGGCCTGGGAGGAGAGGTGGCTGCTCCTCACCTGTCACTGTGACCCTCAGTGGAAAGAAGGGATATGCCCACCCAGCAGGCTCCTGTGTGGGGTGGCACCTCTGCGCTGTCCCTCCAACTCTCAACACCCTGCCCCCCAACCAAAGCACATCTCAGTCTTGCCAGGTCTCAGCCTCCCAGGACACTCCGAGATCTGGCCCTCGATGTGCAGTGACTGCACTGAGCCCCTACAGCGAAATGGTGGCACCAGGCCATACTACCAAGGGGACTTCCAGCAGGGGGTGTGCATGGGCGGCCTGGCAGAGGCACGGGCTGAAATGCTGCTGAGGGACCCCCAAGCCTGGTCCTCTCCTCACCGCCACCCCAAGGTGCCAGCAACCCCAGAGCCAGGGTTTCTTACTCACAGGCAGTCCCGGTGGGCCCATGGCACCTGGGTAGCCAGGTTGCCCTGGAGCACCCTGCAAAGAAAGGTGGACATGATCAGCCCCCTAACATTTCTGTTCCTCCCTCCTGGGAAAAAGCCTGGCCCAAGCCACAATACCTGGAGCTGCCATTCAGCAGGCACCCACCTACTACAGCCATCTCCCCAAGGCCCAGGTTCACTAGGCCGTGACTCCCACCAAGCCCCTGAGAGCTGAGCCAGCGGAGAGGGCCCAGGGCAGGGGCCGATGAGGACCACAGAGGGGCAGCAGGAGGGGGCTGCTAGTGCTGCAGCAAGAGGAAGGGAGAAAAGCCACCAGGAACGTTGGTGGAAACCAGGGGGCAGGGGTGTTTGTCCCTTACAGGGAGTTGCGGCACATGGAGATTGGCCTCCTTTGATCATGGCGTAAAGACCCCCATACTGAGGGAATCGGGGCTGAGGGGCAAGAGTTTCAAAAGCAAGCGTCTACCTCCCATCTCCCACGCAGCCGCCACCCGGGGCCGTCTCCCCCTCCTCGTGCCAGCCTCCTCTTACCGCTTCCCCCTTCTCTCCCGTCAGGCCCCTGAGGCCGCGCTCTCCTTGAAGACCCTTGGAGAGAAAAGCCATGAGCAATTGCAGGGGAGGGCCTGCCCCACCCAGCCCCTGACTCCTGCCCATGCCCCGCAGCCCTCTGTTTCTGTTCCAGGCCAAGGTGGGGGTTGCTGCTGGCCCTCTAGGGCCCCCAGCACGGTGTCCATAGGGCATGTGTCCTAGAGGGGTAACTGTCATATATGGATGCCTCTCAGAAGCACAGCCTCTAAGACAGGTAACTACAGAGATATGTCCCCCAAGGTGGGTGACTCCCAGAGGGTACCTCTGAGGCAGGTGACTGGCACTGGTGTGCCCTACTATAGTAATTGTCTGGGGGGTACCTTTAGGAGAGTGACACATGTGTGCTCCACCTGTGATGGCAACTGTCATGAGAGGTGTCCCTAGCGTGATGCTCCCACTAAAATGTGTCACTGGATACACAGCACTTACCTGTCCAAGTCCCCCTCCCTCCCCCAGTCAAAATCACCTTCTTTTGGGGATACAGGGGAGAGACATGGGAAGGCTCCCTCCAGAGCAGTCCCTGTCACTTTTGGGGGTAGAAAGGGATATCAGTGTCAATCAAAGCCAGAGTTCCCACCCCTACTCCTCACCCTGCCCTTCGCACATTCGCCACACCATTAAGGGGCCGCGTCTGCCCCTTCTCCCTCGTGCCCACAAAAGACGGCGCCCAAACCTTCCACAACACAAGACAGATGGCTAGACGGACAGATGGCCCCTTCACCCAAGCAAGCAGAAACAGACAAGGTCCGGCCAGGATGAGGGCGTGGGACAGATGCGACTGCGACAAGGAGGGCCCCTGCTCCCTGGGCCTTCATCGCCCGGCCAGGGAGGAGAGGGGCCAGGCCCCAGGAGCACAAAATCTGACAAACAGGAGGTTAGTTTCCATGACCCAGAGCAACAGTGAGGATGGGGATGATTCAAACACACTTGCGACGATGATGAAGGCAGAGCAATTAACGACACCTGGCAGAAGGAGTGGACCAAGATGCCGGGAACACAGGGGCGGGGCCCCCGACTTTCAGAAACCCAACTGGCTGGCATCCCATGTCCAGCCTCAGAGCAGACTGGGACTGGAGCCAAGAAAGAGGAAAGGAAGAGGAGGAAGCTGAGAGTTTCCTCCAGGACGATGGGAAAGGTGCAGGCGCAGTCACCTTCTGGTCCCCGGGGTGCCTCTGGACAGTCCTGCTGAGCAGCAGGGCAGCAAACCTGTGCCAGCCTGCAATGTGAAGCCCTAAAGCTTTGGCATCTCTGCCAGGCTCAGTGCCAGGCGCCTGGCAGGACCCCAAGAACGACTTTCAGCAAATCTTCAGTGAACACCGAAGGTGGGAGAAGCAGGAGGCAGAAGTGAGAAGGGAGGAATAATGAGGGCCCCTAGAGGCACGAGCTTAAAATAAGAAGGTAAAATAGCTCCAGAGGACTTACGGGGAGTGATGTGCGATTGTGGGAGAGAAAAGGGAAACAAAGTGATGGGAGGCGGGTAGAGGGGAAGAAAACAAGAGAAAGAAAGCAGGATCAGTGGCAGAGGGGGAAGGACAAGAAGGCAGACACCAGGAGGATGTCCCAGCTGCAGGGACCTCAGGGAACCTGTGTCGTTAGCTACCATGCCTGCAGGAGACAACGACAAACACGGAGGATGGAGGTGAGGGCACGACAGGGAAGGAGACAAGCAAAAGCCACAGAGACCTGGCTGGTGAGGGGAGGGGAGGTTGAGCAGCGCTAGGTTCTTACAGGCAATCCGGGGGAGCCAACGGCACCAGGAAAACCTGGGGGGCCCTGGTGGGAGAAACAGGCAGGTCACATCTCACAAGCACAGTCTCTCTGGGGCACAGTCTGGGGCTGAGGGGTCGTGGGACAGGTCACGGGAATATTTCAAGGCAGCTGGAGAAGAGATTGGCTGGAAGTCTTGGCCCAGAGATGGGTGCTCCTCCCCTTGGCTCCAGGAAGAAGGGCCCCGCCATCAGCAGAGATGAGAACCAGCCGCCGGAGTCAAGCAGCCCTTCCCAAGCCTTCCCAAGTCTAACCGAACCGCCTTGCTGGGGTGGAAGCCTCTCATGCCTGTTACCTGACCTCCAGAGCCCCCAGGTGGGTGGCTCCTGCTTCTAAGATCGCTCCCACCAGCCATTTTTTTCTCCAAAGAAAGCATTTTCAATTCTCCCGGCCTTTTCTAATCACTTCTATTTTCCTGCCATATCACCACCGAGGACCCAGGAGGATGCCCCTGGTCTGGCCTTCGGCCTAGAGATGGTCCTACAGAGCAGCGCAGGGCAGCTCCACCTCAGCTCCTGGCCCCCGTAGGGATGGTGTCAGGGGGCCATAGAGAGATCTGGCAGGGTTGCCACATGCTTTCCTGGCTGCTGAGACCAAGAGCCAGCAGCCTCAGCACCCCCCTGCCCAGGGCAGCCTGAGTCCCTTATGTAAAGCACAGCAGGGATGGGGATGGGTAAACAGAGGCGCCACAGAGGGCCCCGTCTAAGCAGGACCACAGGCAGAGCAGGCCAGTCCCCGGGGGTTTGGTGGTGCCAGTCCATGGTCCCCATAGATGCTCTGACGAGAGAAAGGAGCGGACAGTGGAAGTTTCCTCTTTCTGCCCTGTGCAGCTTCCTGGACACAAGGCAGCAAAATGGTGTCCAAGCACTAGGACCCCTCTGAGAGCTTCTCAAGCAGGCCAGGAGACCACGGATACTTACAATAGGGCCTGGAGGACCTGGGGAGCCCCTCATGCCAGGCGGACCCTGCAAAGGAAGCCAAGGGAAATGGATGAAGAGGCCCAGGCCCCACAGAGCCGGGGTCTCGGCGGCCCTCCTCCTGGCTCACCGCAGCCAGAGTCTATAGGCGGCGGATGTTAACGCTGATGTTAAACCTTTCATTCAGTTCACTCAATCATTCAACACATATTGACTGAGCAGCTACTATGTACCAGGCACTGGTCCAGGTGCTGGGGACACAGCAATAAACAAAACACAATAATTTGAGCCTTTAACGGGGAGGTGGATGGTAATAAATGGAACAGGGGCCGGCATGTAGCTGGTGCTCAGTAGATACCCGTGGAATGCTCTTAAATGAAGGAAATATACAGTATGTCACACAGTGATGAGTGTGATGCAGACAGAGGCAGCAGCTAGTCCCGGGAGGGAGAGTGTCCCGTGGACCGAGAGCAGCGAGGAGGCCAGTGCGCAAGGAGAGCAGACGACATCAGAGCAGTCCGGGGCACCAGCTGACCTGAGTCCTCGGAGACCCCTGAAGGACTCCCGAGAGGCAGGGAGCCCCTGGCGGGCCCAAGAAGACATTTGGCAGGAATGAAACTACCCTCAGGAACGAAGGGTCACTGCATGGATGAGGGCCCAGCTCCTGGTCTTACCTCTTCTCCTCTCTGGCCCGGCAGCCCTGGGGGACCGGGCAGGCCGGGGCTCCCAGCACAGCCCGGATCGCCCTCGCTGTTGTCTCCCTGGAGTGGATGGAGATGGCGGGAGTGAGCAGTTGGGGCCCCTCCCTGTGGGGCGCAGGGCAGGCGGTGAAGAGAAGGCAAAGGCCCACTCACCCGGGCCTCCTCAGCTCTGGGCCGCTCCCGCTCGGCGAAGCACTGTGAGGGCCAATGGGAGGCTCTGTCAGGTGAGGCCACTGGGAGCTCTCCCTGCACCAAGGCCACCCCTGAGCCCAGCCTCCTACTTACCCGGGCACAGTTGTCAAGGCCTGGCACGCCAGGGATGCCCTGGTCTCCCTTCTCTCCTTTCTGCAGGAGGGCTCCCGGGTGGGCCGCCTGCCTCTGGCCACAGTCCCCGCAGAGGCTCTGAGAAGGAAAAGCGGGAGACAATGGGACATGAGTCTCAGATGGCCGGGATGGGCCCAATGGAAGAAGCCCTGTCTGAACTCAGTCTGGGCTCCCTGCCTGGCATGCAGTCCTCCACCCACGCTCTCCTGCTCCCCAGCCACGTCTCCGCAGCAGCTCTGCTCCATCTTCAGGGGACCCAGCCCAACACTGGCTTTGAGTTTCCTCCAAGAAGCAGCTCTGGTGGGACCCCGTCAAAGCCACTTTCCAGACAGGCATGTGGGAGGAGGCAGAGGGCCCACTGAGGGACCATCTGTCCCAGTTGTTCCTGCAACCTGCACCCACTGTGAGGACGTGCCATGAGGACTGAGGCTGAAAATGCCGGCTCCGAACAGCTTCCGTAGGAGCAGAGGAAGCAGCCGCACGAGCTTCCGGGCCTTTTGCAGATGCCCTCGGGGACGGAGCCTGCCCTCTGTCCCCAGCGGGTCCCAGCCATCATAGACTCCTGTTTGCTGGACCTGGCAGTCTTCCCCACAAGGAGACCCTCCCCTTACTGGAGGATTTTAACCTCTTTGGGTCACAGAGACCTCTGAGGATTTGACAGAAGCTATGGATCCTCTTCCCAGAAAAATAAAAGCCACTAGTAAAAAAGTAGACTACAGTTGCAGAGGACTGGGGAGCCTGGGGTCTATACAGGGCCTGGTGGGGTATCCGTGAACCCCTAGGCGGGAGCCCCTGCTCCACCCTCACCATTCCCTGCCAAGCCGAATGATAACAGTTGTCATTTGCTCAGCACCCACGTGCCAGTTATGGTAATAGGCCTGTGCACATTATCACACTGAAGCCTGACAGCACAGCGAGACAGGTCATCTTATAAGCAGTGTGGAGATAAGAAAGCTGACACTCAGAGACAGCGTGACTTGTCTAAGGGATGGGGGAGCCCGGACTACACCCTGGCTGGTCAGAGGCCTGAGCTGCTGCTCGGCCCACAGGCCCAGGCTTCCTCTGGGCTGTGTGCGCATGCGGCTGCAGGGGCTCCTGGTCAGCACTCCCCGGGCGCCATCTGACACCTCTCCAGATTACTGCTCAGGGCCCTCTGCAGAGCACTTGGTTGAGAAACCATCAGGTGCCGTGATACAGAGAGAAACGTTAAGCCCACGGGAGCTTCACAGTCACTTGCCCGGGGCGGCACTTGGAGGAACCCTGGGTTGCCGGAAGCCTAAGAGAGAAGAGCTGAGGTTTCATTGCCACAACCCCGCTGCGATCCAACATGCAGCTGCTGCCAGGGGCTAACCTGGCCTCAGGCTACTTCTGGGGACATCCGCAGTCTAGAGCAGCGATTTTCAATGGTTGTGTTGCAAGAAATTTTAAAATATGCACTACCTGGCTATGTAGTCGGGGGCACTGACCTCTTTTCCCTTGGATTGTCAAATGATAAATGACAACAGCCAACACAACAATAGCCGTCCGGTGTGAATGAATCAAAATTATGCCTGTTTTTATGTCAGATCAGCAAAAAATATGTTTTTTGGTGTGCTGCAGAATTTTAAAATTAGTTTTTGTGTGCCATGAGGTGAGAAAGGTTGGAAATCGCTGGTCTCGAGCAGGGCAAGGACAGGCAGTCCCCACGCTGTGCTGACCAGGACCCAGTAGGGTAGTGGGACAACCAGGGCATGACTAGCCAGTGCTAGAAGGTGGCCAGGACAGGGGGCTCTGGTGGCCAAAGTTTGGGAGGGACCTCTGAGGATGCAGCTGAGCTGGAGGAGAGAAAAGCTCAGGTCTCATCTCTCGAGGCGACTGAGCAAGGACGGGTTGTGTCACCCTTGGTTCCCAAGGGGAAATCTCAGCTCATCTTGAGAGGCCAGACCAAGCCAAGTCCTTGGGTGTGATCTTGATGCTGCCTGCAGGCCCCAGCACAGGCTGACTCTGCTTCTAGGCTCCAAGTCCCCTTTCCTCTCTAGGATTGCTTCTCAAATCCCATCTCCTTCCTGGACTCTTTCTGGATTGCCCAGAGGTGGCTAAAGCCTTCTTCAAGGCCCACACCCAGTCTTACCATAGAATGCAACACAGGTGGGCAGGCCTGAGATCCCACAAGTGCATTTCCCTGGTCCCTGCTCCGCTCTGGGAGCTGCGGGACCCTGACCTGGCGTGACCAGGGCAGTAGAGGGCCTCACTGGCTTTGGGGTTGGAACTGCCAACAGCATTCACCACTTCTCAGGGTTCCTTCAGACAGTCACTCAGCAGGTACTGACCGAGGGTTTGTTAGCGGCTGGGCACCGTGCTGGGCCCTCTTACACGTGCTTGGAGCACACATCGCCCACAAACAGCTCCATCAGCAGCTCTCTCTGCCACCCCCGCCAGTCCCTACTCCCTCCCTCTTAATCTCTTACCTGAAGGAGGTGCTGTTCAATGGGTAAGGATCCCTGCGAGAGACAGACAAGAGGGCTCAGGTGTGGGCAGGGAAGAGAAAAAGGGGAAGGAGAATTATGGTACCAGGTGGAGCCTTGGAAAGCCACGTGCCATCCAGGTTTCTCCCAGCCTCAGAAGGAAAGGAGAGGGACCACCCCCACCAACGCCACTGCAGCCTGGGAAGGGCAGGAGGCAGCTGGACAGAGAGTCCTGGCCCGTACCTACCAGTTCTGCAGGCAGCCCAGGCTGTCCAGGCAAACCGTTGTTTCCAGGCACTCCCTGCAGCCAGGAAGAGACACGAGTGAGTGGGCCCACTCCTCTTCCCAGCCCACGGGGCACCCTGCTTCATTCCCACCATCCCTGTTGCCTCTCCCTCATCCTGCAAAGCCAAGCCCGTACTCTTAGCTCAAAATCCCCAGATGCATTTGTAAGAAAAGCTGAGGAGGCCCGGCAGGGGGTGACTCCCAAAACCAGACCAATAGGGTGTTTTTTTCCCCGTGTGTCACAGGAAGTTAGGAATTAGGGCAGAGGATCTTCTACATAGTAAGTAACCATTGTTTCTTTCTGTGCTAAGTCCTTCTATATTTTCTTCATGAATCATCACAATTCTATTGGTGACCTACGTGTTATCTTCATCTTAAAAACAGAACACGAGAGGGTAAGTAAATGCCCAAGGGCACAGGACAACAAGGCGCACGGGTGAGATTCCGAGTGAGGAGAGCTGGCTTCAGCTCCCCTCTCAGCCACCACTCCAGCGTCCCTTCTCAAAAGGCACTCCCAAGAGCACTCATACACACAGCAAGGGGAGGCTGGGGAGTTGGGCCTAACTAGGTGCCAATTCCTATATAACTGTTGGCAGGTTGGTTAGTGAAAGGAACAACCTCTGTGCCTCAGTTTCCTTATCTAGAAAACAAGGTTAGTTTACAGTGAGGCTTAAAAGGAGACCATAGCTGTAAGGAGCTTAGTACACAGCCTGGCACATGGAATGCTCACGTGAAATGTTTGCCCCCCAAACTCTCTGTCCCCCTTGCAGACTCTCCACATGCATATGTGTATTAAATACTCCGTGGAAGCAGGTGGTATGCTCCCCTTGAAATCCCTGGCGCCCGGCAGGGAGGAGGCATGCATGGAATACATGTGGCGTGAACACACCGCTGCTCACCCTGCTCTCCCGGCACAGGATTTCCTGGGCCCGCGCTGAGTTGGCCTCCCTTCAAGTCCCAGCTCCCAGCAATAGAACATGCGCCTTCTCCCACCAGCCCACCCTGCTGCAGGCCAGGCGCCACCAGGTCTGGGTCAGGCCCCATGTCAGCCTCCCCGCCTCCTCTTGCACGACATGTCATTGCTCTGCCCTGCTCATTCTGTATCCTAAATGAGCTCAGTGGGTAAAGTGCTTAGACCAGTGGCTTGGGAAAGGGAAAACACCTTGAACATGTGAACTATAATTATGCCCTAAATTATTATTCACCCCCTGCTCCACTCTCCACTGCCCGCGTATGAGTTCAAGCCTGATTATTGGGCTTTTCTTTTCCTGTCCTCCCAGAACTCAGAGGCCCACCTATTGCTCCACTGCAGATGCGAACAGCTAGTTACTCACTGTCTACTAGCTCTCTAGCCTTGGGCACATTTCTTAACTCCTGTGCCTCAGTTTCCTCTTCTGGAAAAAGGGTGAGGATTGCATGATAAAATCAAGCAGTGCCTTGGACCAGTAAGTGCCGTTTATCTCTGAGCCAGTTTCTGAACATGAAGGAGGAGCTGCAGGAGATGAGCCAGCCTGGGGGCAGGACTGCGCCCTGCCGGGCACAGGGCAGCTGCCTGGTAGTGGCAGCCTCGGCTTTGTCTCCAGCACTGGCACTGGAGGAGGACTCCGGCGCCGGGGGCCACCAGGCTCAGCAGGCACGCCTTTCTGCCTCATTCCCCCAGCACGCCTTGGCACGGTTCACCCGACATCAGCGTGAGCTGGTTAGTGGATCACTGTGAAATGGCTGTCATGCTTCCCCTAGCAAACTGCAAGCTCCCTGCAGACAGATTCCTGTTCCCCGGCAGGAGTGTAGCAGGAAGCCCAGGCACTTGGTAAATGTGTAGCTGCCCCAAGGCGACCCAGAATTGGCTCTACATCTGCCTCTGGATGAGACAGAGAGAACTGTGATTAGAGTGGAGACTCCTATCAGCAATGGGAGTGTGTGCATGTGTGTGGGGGGGGGAGGTTAAACCTCCAAATCACCAGGGCCATGGAGAATACATGGTTTATAAAATGCTTCCATGGGATTCTGCCCTCCTTCTTCAGGGGGAAATCACTCTTTCAGGAGCTGAGAGCCCACATGCAGCAGCCACCGTCTGCGCCCGCTGGGAGCTCCGGAAAAGGTGGCCTGGTGCGCAAACCACTGGGGAACTGTCCTGAGAGGCGGCACAGGGGAGAAGAAAGAGCTCTGCACTGGGAAGCTCAATCCAGCGCCACCAACCCCTAGCTGGGTGACCTCAACCAAGATTCTTCGCCTCTCAGAGCCTTGGTTTGCCCAGCCGTGACTCAGGGACACCGCTGCCTTCCTACTAGGGTTGGTGTAAGGCTCCAATGAATGAGAGAATGGATGTAAACTAATAATTGTAGATGTTATCATAACGAAGGTGGATGCCTTCTGAGCACCTACAAAGTGCCAGCCACAGTTCTATACATTTTGCATGCGTTAACTTGTTTAAAATTCACAATAGCCCAATGAGGTACATGTGGTAATTATCTCCGCATAACAGATGAAGGACTGAAGACACAGAGAGGGTAAGTAACTTGACCAGCATCACACAGCTAGCACATAGCAGAGCTGGGACTCAAAGTCAGGCTGCCCGGCTCTGGAATGAACACTCTGATCACAATGCAGTGGGGATCTCAACTCCAACCACTCCCTCCTCGTTATCTCTGGCCTCCTCGCCAGAGGGGGCACGTCCCCTCCTCCGGGCCTTTGCACCTGCTGCTTTCTCTGTCGGAACTGCTCTCCCACGGGAGTAAAGGACAGTGCGGTTCACTCCTCATGTTCTTTAAGTCTTAGTTCAAATGTTACCTTCTCTTCAACATTTTCCCCACATTTCTTCCCTGTCCTCCTCCCATTTTCTATCCCCACTCCCTACTTTCTCATTCTCCTTAGCATGTATTATCTCCCAACATACTATATTTTATATATTTATCTTGTTCATTGTCTGTCCCTTCTACTAGAATGCAAGCTCCAAGAGAACAGGGATTTTTATTTTTGTCCACAGTTTTATCATCAGCATCTAAATTTTAAAAACAAACAAACAAACAAACAAACCCAGTCCCTGGAAAATAGCAGGTGTGCAAAAAACAGGTGGAGCTCTGTACCAGTGGAAAAAATGTTTTATCTGACCCAGATTCTGGGCTCCTGACAACTGGCCAAGGCCCGGGCCTGGCATGGGTGTCAGCAGGGTGCCTGGGCTAGCTCACAACGCAATGTTCCTCGAAAACAGGCTGGGGGGTGCTCACAGCCTGCCCTAGAGGCCCCCACGCCGCTCTGGAGAGCAGGAGCACAGAGGAGTGAGAAATGACAGGTTTATGTGCTCGGCAGGGGCACAGCACACCCTGGGGCCCAGCACAGAATGTGTGCCTTGCCTCCCAAACTCATTCTCGTATCCCCATTTACCTGCAGCCCAGGCATTCCAGGGGGGCCTGGTGGTCCGGGCACACCTGGGGGACCCTGAGGGAGAGGAGAAATGATCAGACCCAGGACAAAGCCCTGCCCCATTGCCAGGGGCAGCAGCGTGAGCCTGGGCAAGCCGAGAGGCACTGGCGGACAAGAGGAGAAACAGAGGAGACAAGCGACACACACCTGCGGGCCCGGCTGCCAGGAGCTGCCCATCCAAAGTCCCGGAGCACCCTGGGTGGGAGTGGGGGTCGCAAAAGGGGAGAGGTTACAGACAACGTCCACACCAAGCGCAGGGCTGCGTGGGGAGGCGGCTGGCTGGGGTGCAAAGCCCTGCGGGGCTCTTGCATGTTGGGCTGTGGCGGGAAGCCAGGCCTCTCCCCCTGGCTGGGGGCAAGGCTCGCAGCACCACTTACCGGCATGCCAGAGAAGACAGCGTCCCCTCGGGAGGGACAGGAGCACTCCCCGGGCTCCCCCTGGAAAGACAGGGGCCTTTGTCAGAGGAGGGCCAGGATGGAGGACCTTCTGGAAACTGACAGCTGGGCGGTGGCACAGGCCCTGGGATGGAGAGGCCAGGGTTTCCATCTAGGACCTGCCTCTTATGATTGTGCACTTGGGGAGTCTATTCGAAGACTAGAACTTCAGTCTCCTCGTCTGAAGGTGGGGGCAGTAATATCAAACGCAGAGGCTGTCATGAGGATGGAATAGATTGGTGCATGTAGCGTTCCTGCCCCATGGCAAGCACCCCCCAAGCAAGGGCTGCTGCTATTCACTGCCATCTGCTACAGCACAGGTGTGCTCGCCTCCAGTGGCGTCGTGGCAGCTCCACACGGCGGCAGCCCCGCTCCCCTTGGCCTGGCCTGGCTTCTGAGCCCTTCTCTCCCGGTCCCTCTCATCTCAGCCCTCTCACCGCCAGTCCTTCCTGACCTAGTCCCTGCCCTATCCTCTGACTCAGCGGCCATGTCCATTTGAAAATGCAGCTGCCCCCTGCCCCGAGCGGGGATCTTGGAACTCCCTCGGTCTCCTGGGATCCCAGTAGGGGCCTGGGTCACACCCGGGTAAAGCGAGGAGCAACTGGGGCTCCTGCTCTCTGGGACCAGGGAGCTGGTGGAAGGCAAGGAGACCAGGGTGATCCGTTTTCCAGGCCAGGGCCACTAGCATGCACGTAGTGATGGGACGACAGGGGCTGCTAATTTCCCCTGAGGGATGGGACTGACCTTCTCTCCCTGAGATCCTTTTTCACCCTGCAGGGAGGAAACACCGGAAGGTGAGTAGGTAAAGGTGCGGAGGGAGGGCCAGCTGCGGCTTCCTGTTGCCTCAAGACCTTGTACTCACTGGCATCCCTGGAAGTCCAGTCTGTCCTTGCTGCCCATCAGGTCCCTTGAGAGAGAGAGAGCCCAGGGTCAGTGGTTAGCGCCACACCACTAGCAGCCAGCCATTGGCCTGCCTGCAGGGAGGGCTACGGGACAAAGAGGAGGAGCGCCAGCTCCCCTGGTGCGCGTCCTGGTGCCCCTGGTCTAGAGGACAAGACTGAGACGTTAGGTGACAAGGAGAGGGGAAACGCGGAAGAAGCCTGGCGTTCCCTGACCGCCTTGTGAGGGTCAGACTCCAGGCCAAGCGCCTGTCAGGGAACGCCGAACGGAATCCTCACCCCAGCCCTGCAGGACGGTGCTGCTCTGTTTTACAGGTGAGGAAACTGAGGCTGAAAGAAGTGTTGTAATAGACCCAACGGCACGACTGCAGCAGGCCTGTGAGGCCTGGAGTCCCTGCTCTCCCCTTTGCCCTTCAGTGTTGGACACACATTCTCTCTATCACAAAGGTTATCTCAGTTGATCTATTGCAGCTCCTATTCTATCAACAAGAAATGGGAAACTGAGGTTGTCGCTTGCCCAAGGTCATAGCTAGTGAGTGCGGGGCCGGGACTGAGGAGCCTCGTGGATGAGATTCGGCTCTGGGGAGTCCAGCCTGGCCACACGGGCATTCTGATGGCTGCCTTCCTGTGGGACGTGCCCCTGTCACACATGGGACTGGAAGGTCCCCAAGGGTGAGGGCCACCTTCACCTTTACCTCCGTTTTACCCTGGGAGCCCCTGGGACAGACAGGAAAGGACTGTGACGGTCAGCTCTGCAGGGCAATACAGACTGGCTATATAGACCTGGGCCAGTCCCTGGCCCCTGTGAGCTCCAGCGCACCCTCGAAGGAATCCATCCGTGATTCCCAAACTGGAACTGGAATTTCTCTAGGGATCCACAAATACAGAAAAGATATGGTACATGGGGCTGTTTTCTACATTACCAAAAGCCCATGAAAAATTTCTATCATTTGCCCCCAATCTGGCATGGCCCACGCTGGCTGAAAGGTAGCATTTTTCTGAATTGTGTCGTGTGCAAAATTCTAGTGGCTTCATGTGAAGCCAACTGTTATACAGGTCTTTGATGAATGAAAATGAGGAAGTGCATTTAATATTACTTAATCATGCAATTCGTTAGATAAACAATCTTTTAGGACATGGGACTCGGTGGGACAATAATAAGGGGGGTCTTTGAGGGTTGGAAGTATTGCTGGTCTAGATAGATCTGTGCTGTCCACATGTAGCTCTTTCGATTTAAATTAATTTTTAAATTATTTTAAAAATCCTCACCCGAGGATATGTTTATTGATTTTTAGAGAGAGAGGAAGGGAGAGAAACATCAATGTGAGACAGAAACATCCTCTGCTATGTCCCTCAACGGGGGATCGAACCCGCAGCCTTTTGGTGTACAGGATGACACTCTAACCAAGCCACCTGGTCAGGGATAAATTTATTAAATTAAATGAAATTTAAATTTTTGTTTCTCAGTGACACTAGCTACACTGCAAGTGCTTGACAGCCACACGTGGCCGGTGGCTACCGTCTCCGGCAGTGCAGAGCAGCATGTTTCCATCGCTGTAGGGCACTCCCTTGGGTAGCACTAGTTTAGATGACCCCTAACTCCTCCCCAGCTTGAAGTGAGGGTGGAGGAGTGAATATATGGGCTTCGAGTCAGACAGAATTGGGTTCAAGTCCTGGCTCTGCCTCCTCACTCCCTGGCTTTCAGTTTCCTCATCTGTGAAATAGGATCAATCAATAATAGCCATTCCCTTACAGAGCTGCTGTGAGGATTAAATGAACCACACAGGGCCTCAGCGCAGTCACCGCACAAGAGATGACGGGGATCAGTGCTGTCATTGCTCAGGTGCTCTTCCTTCTCCAAGACTGGGCCGAGCTGAGGCCTCTCCACTCTCATCCCCTATGCTGCTGGGATGGGCAGGGTCAGCCCCATGCCCTGTTCCCAGCAGCAACGTCCTTGGCCCCAGCAACACCCCAGCATGGAGCATAGAGAGGACCCTTACCGGAGGCCCAGAGACACTGGCACCAGGAGGTCCCATGGGTCCAATGGCTCCTTTCATCCCCGGAGATCCCTGAAGAAGGAACACAAAGATCGCAAGGTCAATCCAGCAGGTGCGACACCTCAGACCAGGCCTTGGGCAGCTCTCTGATGGGCATCACTCAGTTCCCATGTCCGCTGTCCCCAAGACCAGGCCACACCGAAGCATTGCAGGCCTAGTGCCTCAGGGGGCAGAGGCTCACCTTGGCACCCTTCTCCCCAGCAGGGCCAGGTGGTCCTCGAGGTCCGGGGAGCCCCTGCAGATGGAAGCATAGTTAGTAATCCCTTCTCCCAGAGCAGCCCCATCCCCTGCCAGCCTCCTCCAGGCCCAAGGCAGACGTACCTGGATGCCAGGCAAACCCTGGGCTCCAGGTTCCCCCTGCAAGTCAGAAAAGGCAGACTGGGCCACACCCGTCCCAGCCAACCTGCCCCACTGGCCCTGCCCTGCCGGCACACCTGGTCTGGGGTGGGTTGTCTGCCAGCCCTCCGAAGGGCACCCCAAGGAGACCCTGAGGGTCAGAGAGGCGGGGGTCAAAGCCAAGGTCCCCGACAGAAGCAAGGCTGAGGCTGCTGCTGCACAACTCTACCCCAGAGCTGTGCCCTTGAGTACTTGGGGGAGGGTGGAGCTTTGTGGTTTTCAGGGTAGATGGGAGTGGACAGCTGGCTAGTGGAAGTGTTGAGGGGGGTTGCCAGGCAGGCAAAGGTAAGGCTGCAGACTCACCTGGGGCCCCTGGACTCCTATTCCTGGAGGCCCAGTTTCTCCCTGAAGAGGCAGAAGGACATCCTTGGCTTGAGAGCCCCACTCACACTTGACCGTTCCCACAGCCCCTCCTCCTTGACCTCCTCCACCTTTTCTCCCTTCACTATAGCTGATCTCCATCCCCCACTCCAGCCCACTGCCCCCACGTATCCCCCCACACCCCCCTCCACCCTCACCCATGCATACCTGCAGCTCAGGTCCCCCATACTCACACCTACCTGTACACCCTTCAGTCCTGGGGGCCCTTGAACTCCTGGTAGACCAGGTTGGCCCTAAAAGGCACAGATGGCCCATGGGTCCCACAGGGGAAAGGAGAAGAGAGGGAAGCCCAGGCAGGAAAGGACTAGAGGACAGACAGGCCAAACTCACCGGTTTCCCAGGCTGGCCCACGCCTTCTGGACCTGGCTCTCCTTTGGGGCCTGGTTTCCCAGGGAGTCCCACCGCATCAGTCCACGCCCCCTGCAGGCTGGGGCAGGCAGTGCAGCCATCACCCTAGTCACACATGGGCATGGCCAGAAGTGGGTGAGCCAGGGTGGCAGTCAGGCCAGCAGGAGGCATGAAAAGGGGGGGACCCTTGTGCCCCTCTGAGTGCTCTGCCCCTCCACTGCCCCCACCTCAGCCTGGGAAATCAAAACAGGCACCCAACACTCCTAGCTCTTCCCCTGCCTCAGGGAAGAGTGGGGGCGCCTCTACCCAGCGCTTCTGGTGTCCTAGGAGGCTCACAGCCCAACTCCACAGCCTTCCCCCCTCGTACTCTTGGTCTGATTTCTTTTTGTTCATGCAACAAACTGTCCCCGCATGACTGACCTTCTCTCCTTTTGGCCCCATGGGGCCCCGAACCCCAGGCTCTCCTGACAGTCCTGGCCGCCCCGAGGTGCCAGGCGTTCCAGGGTCTCCAGGATTTCCTGCATCGCCCTGTAAGGAGCAGGGATCAAGGAGGACAGAGGTGACCCACGTGTGGGCAGCCTGCCCTCTTGGGACCCGCCGGTACTCAGAGCCCTTCACTGGGTCTAAGGACTGGGCCGGGAGTAGAGACTGGGCTCAGAGCAATCAGGAAAAGAAGGCAGAGAGGGCATCTGAGGAGATGGGGTGCCCACCCATGCCCGTCGAGGCTTTCTCACCTTCTGCCCCTTCAATCCACGCTCTCCAGCCTTGCCCTGAGGAGAAAGCATTTCCAGCACCCATTCACTCATACCAGACACCCCCAAGTGGCTGGTATTACTGTGCTGGACCCAGGAAATGCAACAACATATAAAACAGACCCAAATCTGCTCTCACATACTGGATAGATTGAGAGAAAAGATTTGAGCCAGACTCCTGCCTGGGTGACCCTGGGCAAATTACTTAACCTCTCCATGCCTCAATTTCCTCACCGGTCAAATGGGGATGATAAAATAGCATAGGTTTCTACATGATAGGGTTCTTGTGAGATTAGATGAGCTAATATACGCGAAGCAGTGTTGGCACATTGGGTTTATTATCAGTGTTTACTGTTATCAGTGAAGCGGTAACAATAATAATCGCCACAGCGGTAACTATCGTTTCCTGAACATGTACCGTGTGCCGCTAAGTGCTTCACGCACATGATTCCCAGGCCTTACACCACCATACCGTGCACAGGAAACAGGCACAGAGAGGAAGAGGAACTTGCTCAAGTAAAAAAGCTGGTAAAAAGCAGACTGGACTTTGAACCCAGGTCTATCTGGTCCCAGGCTGGAATGCTCTCAGCAAATCCTACCATCCTGTGTCCCAGGACAGAGGGCAGAGGCCTGTCAGGACAGCCCTCTCTGCGGACAAAGGCACTGACCCCCCCACACACACTCCCACCTACTCCCTGCTGTCCAGGGAGCCAGGGGACCCAGGCGGGGTCCCTAGGCTCTCCTGAGCCCGGTCTGCAACCTGCTCCAAAGGCCCTGGGACTCACCTGTTTTCCTGGCAGGCCGAAGCCTGGAGGCCCGGGCTCTCCCTTTTCTCCAGGAGGGCCAGGCAAGGCCACCACGTGGCTCTCCCCAGCCTGAGGCTTGGACAGAGCTGAACATGGCTCACAAGGCTCCCCCTGCCGAGCAAGGACACAGGGTTGGGGGCCCCAAGCCAGAGCTGGAGGCTGGGGACTGTACCCAGGCCTGAGATATGGCACCTCTACCAGGCAAGGGATATCTCAGGAGAGGTTGTGGAAACATAGGTAAGAAAAGAAGGTAAGGGCCAAGTCATAGCACTGGAACACCATGCTAAGGGGTTAGCTATGACCCTCAGACATTGGGGAGCCTCGGAGAGTTTGAAGGAGAACAAGATGAGTGTGTGTCTGGGTAGTCAACCCGGGCTGCGGTGCGGGGAATGTCTCCATACTCACCTTCTCCCCTTTGATGCCTGCGGGTCCCACGGGCCCTGGCAGTCCCTGTGCGATAAAAAAAAAATGTGCGGTGCCCAGCATCTGCCTGGGCCATGCCGAGCCACCGTCCAGGCCCGTCACCGCGCCCGGCAGTGGGCAGCGCCCCCCACCTTGTCCCTTCCCAGAGCTATGGTCGTCCCAGGCACACTTACCGAACTGCCAGCTGGCCCTGCCTCCCCGAAATCGCCCTGAGATCAAAGCAGAGAACAGAAGGTCAAATGGGGCTGCAAAGCTCTATCTGAGAAATGACAGGGGTGGTTTGCTTGGTAGAGCCGAGTCTGAACATAGATTTCAGAGTTTCTCACACTTGAATACTCATACACCCACAAAACCCCTCATCTGAGTCATGCTGCATTGTAAGTTCAATGTTGCGATTTGTCTTTAATGCAACCATAATACAAATGTTAACACGGGGACTGAAATTGAGGGAGCCAGCTGAGAGGTGAAGATTACAGAATCTGGAGCCAGACTTCCTGGGCTCAAACCTCACTTCTGCACGCAAGCACCCATGTGACTTTGTGCAATTTACTTGGCTGTTCTGCGCTTGTTTTCTCATTTGTAAAATGGGCATAATGAAGCCTCTACCCCATAAGGTTTTAAGAGAAGGAAACAAGTTAATACATGTAAGAGCACTTGGCACAGTGCCCTGCACATAATAAGTAGTAAAGAAGTGTTAATATTATTATATTATTATATTATTATAAGGCCATCCCGAATGCTCTAAATTGTTCTAGATTATCAATAAATTAAAAATACAACATTAAGAAATTCTCTTAGAGAACACGCACGCTCTCAGAAATAAATGCCTCGACTTCTGTTTGTAAAACATTGGCGAATTTACTTCACTGTGAATGTACAGTTTGATCTCTTGTCTATATCGTCCCTGCTGCCTACCCAGGGCCCTCTCCCCTGTCTCCCTGCTAAGCGGCCCTGGTGTCTCTGACATCTAACCCAGGTCTCACCTTCTCTCCTTTCAGCCCTGCTGGCCCTGGAGCCCCAACTTTCCCCTGAAAAATAATCAAGTTACAGTCACAGCATCTTTCCATTCCCATCCCTCCAAGACCCCATGGGTCCCAGTGTCCACCCAGAAAAAGAGTTACAACCCAGAATTACAAATCCCACGGCCCTGCAGGTAGCTGGGCAGTTATTTCTGTTACACAGCTGGGCACTCAGAGGTTCTAAGGGAGTTCCAGGGGCAAGTAATCTGGGGCAGTGCAGGGATGGAGGAGGGACCAGGTCGCAGGCTTGGGACACCTGCCCCAGGGCCTCCCTCCTGGTCTCTGCCTTGAGATACAGGGGCCAAAGGAGCCAGGGAGGCCAGCATGGAGCAAGGATGGTATGGACTGGGCTGTGCTAGGAGGAAGCAGTCGCTCACCGGAAGGCCAGGCAAACCGAAGCCAGGGGGGCCCGTGCCCTCTTTGACCCCTGTAAAAGGCCCAAGATGCTGGGTCCCCACAGCTGGGCTGCAGGACAAGCAGGACTCCCCCTGGGGAAGAAAGAGAAGGGATCAAAAAGGCTCCCAACAGTCAGAGGGGGTGGATAGGTGACTGGGGCCCCCTCACCTTTTCTCCTTTTTGGCCTTGGATTCCAGGGTCTCCCTGCAGGGAGAAAAGGTGTATGAGCTGAGACTGGGCATGATGGGACACCCCAAACTTCCTGGACATGTATAAGGACAGCAATGTCCCACACCACAAACACTTCACACACCCAAGGGTTCTAGGTAGCTGAAGGTCAGGAGCACCCCAGAACCAGGGCTCGTCAACCCACGTGACAGATGGAGGAAATGAAGCCACGCTAAGCTATCCCACCAGAGGGTTACTATACATACCCGATCGCCTTTTTGTCCAACAGCTCCCAGGCCCTCCTGAAAGAAAGGGTCTGTGAGGAAGTGAGGTGGGGCGTCCAGGCCCAGACCCTAACCCAGCACTGCCCACTTCTCTCCATCACCCCCAGCCAAGACCCAGTCCCAAGAGGAGGGCACAGCTTTGCTTACTATAAGGGTTGGCTCCACACCAGCTTGCCCAAAAGGCATTTTAGCAGTTCCTCAGGAACCCTGGGAGGTTGCCATGGAAACCTGGGGTGGCCTTCTAGCCCAGCCCTAAACTCTATGGTTCAGCCCCTACCCATGGAGCTAAGCACCTAGACCCTCTGCCCAGTCTCTCTATGGTCATAAGAGGTACCCAGCCTCTCTGCCCAACACCTCTCTATGATCACTCCCCACATCTTTTGTGGGGTCCCTCCATGACTACCATAGGCACTCACCCCAGCTGGTGCGGGATCACCGGGTTCCCCCTTGGGCCCTGGCCTTCCAGGGAGCCCCACGAAGTTCTGGAACCCTTCAGGCAGCGTTGGACACACTTCACAGGGGTCACCCTAGCCGAATGAAGAGACCACAAATGGACAAGATGGGGCTGAGACCCAGGGGGAAACAAACAGCTGCAGATACTGGGTGGGCCAGTGCCTTAGCCCCAGCATCAAACTGGACAGCAAGAACACTGGAGGGGCTTTCTGTTCAACTGACTCATTCATTCAACTAACGATTCTTGGACATCACAAAACTGCATCCTCACAACCAGCCGTAGAAAGCACTGTATCCCATCTCCAGGTGCGGAAGCTTGCCACTGTCGTAAATCATGCGTGACTGGGGCGGGACTTGAACCCAACTGTGTCACTCCCCAGCCAGGCTCTTTATCTGATGATCACACACACACACACACACACACACACACACACACACTGTAGTAACAAAGAAAGAATGAGGGTCCCCACAGGAAGGTCAGCACCTTTGTCCACTAGGCCCTGGATGCTTAATGTCACCTCCAGAGAGGGGCTCCCACTCCCACCCCAACCTGGGGTAGCCCGGTCAGGGACTCACCTTTTCTCCCTTCAGCCCTGGCACCCCTGGCTTCCCCTGGAGGAGAAGCAGTGGGCATTAGTACTAGGGCAGAGGGACCAGTGTGCCAAGACGGCCCAAGGACCTAGCCCCCACCTCCGGAGGCCTTGGTAGGGCAGACTTGGGCACGATGGGCAGCACCCTCCCCACCCCCACCAAATTGGAGTCACTCACAGGCTTCCCGCCAGGACCTTCCTTTCCCGGCACCCCGGCGCTGCCCTGTGGTCAGAAGAAGGCTTAAGAGGGGAGGCTCCTGGCTATGTGACCTCAGCCCATTCACCCCTTTTTCATCCAGTCCTCTCTCTGGACAGCAGGACAATCTCTGCCAAATCTCCCACCTCCTCTTGCTGTTTGCTCAGCAAAGACTCCCTGCCTGTTGCCTGTCCTCCATGTCTAATGCAAGTCCTTCTGGTTGCAAAGGAAGGGAGGACATGAGGCCTCTGTGCCCGTTGCCCGCATGTAGTAGGTTGGAAAACGATCGGGTTGACTCCAGAGGAACAATGGACAGATGAACGTTTCCAAGGCTCTCTGCTTGCTAAAGCACAAGGCCCTACAGTGAACTTGGGCCCTCCAGTTAGGGCCACCCTGGTCATTATTAGACTTCGGCCTGCACTTCCCTAGGCCTTGGAACCCAGGCCAAGGCTCCCATGTCAGCAAGCGCTGGGATGGGGACACTTCCCACGGAGGGGCCTGACTGAGCAGAGCCCAGCCTCCTAAGATGAATGCCTGGCCCCTACTGCTCCCCGCAACATACACGCCCACGACTCTGGCTGCCCCCAGCCCCATTCTTCTCTCTCCTTCCACCGAGCAGGGGGCTCCCCCATGTGCCCAAGATCTAGCCTGTGCTTACCTTGTCTCCTTTAGGGCCTGGTGGGCCACCTGGGTCCCCCTGAGGACAGAAACAGTGGCAGGTAGAGGTTTCCCGGGGGCCTTGAGTTACAGAGAGCTCCTCTAGCCCCTTCCCCCAACCAGGATCCTAGGCCTTGTCTCCCCACCCCTGGCCAGGCAGGGGAAGGGTCTCTGAAGAAAGGATGGCAGGAGGGGCAAGGGGTACTCACTGGGGTCCCAGGAAGTCCTATCCCGGGGGGTCCAGGTCGGCCAGGTGGCCCGGGCTTTCCTGCCAGCCCCTCAGGTCCAACAAAGCCTGGGTCTCCCTGGTCAAATGTGGTGTGGGTGTGAGAGAGCTGCCACCGTAGGCCAGCACCCACTCTCCCCACCACAGACACCCACAGCTCACCTTCTGTCCTTTGGGCCCCATGACACAGATCTCTCCGGGCCGGCCCTGTAGGGGGTATAAAAATGGCCAAGGCTTGGCACATACCGGGGTGGCAGCGCCCTCTGGGACAGGTGCAGACCCACTGCCCACCCAACTGTCCCTCCCCAAAACGAGACTCTCCTCGGTGCCCCAAAGTCATCAAATGTCAACCCCAGAGAATTAGAGGTCAGGGGCTCTCAGGCTGCGAGTCAGGAAGCCCCCTCCTTGCCATGACCCCTAGGGCACAGCCCTCCCCTCCCAGGTCTCCGTTCTGCCTGAGCAAGGCTATCAGAGTAGCTTCTGATGGTTAAATTCGAGCATTCCGAAGTCCCTGCTGAGGAACATGAGGTTGTGGAAGGGAGGGGCCCAGGCGCTGCACTTACGTCTCGGCCTGGCTTCCCCGTAGAGCCCTTGATGCCTTCGCCTCCCTTCTCTCCTTTCTGGCCCTGGAGAAGGCAGAGACAAAGTGACCGGGATTGAAGGAAGGGCCTGGAAGAACCTGGGCAGCTCCAACTGAGGGAGAGACAACTCTGTCTCCCCCAGATTAAGTGACTTGAGTCACCACAGGAGGGTAGACAACAGGAAGAACTCCCAAACCAGCCAGGCCACTCCCTCTGGGGTCTGTGGTGTTTCCCTGTAGGTCTGGTGGGAATTTGGACACAGTGGGATGAGTGGGAGTGTTGGGGGGCACTGCCAACTCTGTGCCCAATGTCGCCTCCCTCCCCCACTCTGTAGGGCACACAGACCCCTCTGGCACCCACCCCGCCAAATCCAGGCCCATTACCTTCTGGCCTGTGGAGCCCGGGGATCCTGAGGGTCCCTGAGATAAATTGGAGACACAAAAGAAGGGGCGATAAAGGAGAGGGAGGCTGGGGGCCAGGACCCCACTGCCCCTGCCCTATCCCTGGTCCCACACTCACCAAGGCTCCTGACTCCCCCTTCTCTCCCTTCAGGCCTTCTGAACACTGAGCAGGGAAATAAGGTGTTGAGAGGGGCCCAGGGTCACCCTGAAGGCTGCCAAGGGCACAGCCCCTTCCCTAGGGTTGACCCCATATTGGCCCTAAAGCAGGCCTCGCCTCCAGGTCTTACCTGAAGCGGGGCATCCGGAGAGATCCGGACACAGTCACTGCCCTGCAGATGGGAAGCAAGGGATCAGGGGTGGGATCTCCTAGCAGAGCCTCCCTCGACCTGTTTTGAAGAGGATGGGCCAAGGAATCCCACACTCCTAGGTCCCCCTAGAAAATAGAGGTTTCTGCCCACTAACTCTTAGAAAGATCCTGGCCTTCATCTGAGCCAGGCTGCCAGTTTCCAGCTGAGATGGAGAAATGTTGGTTCCCATCCCAGCCCACTCCCAGGGCGCAGCTGGGAGGGGTCCTGCAACAGGCATGGCTGGGGCACTTACCCGGGCTCCCTTCTCTCCTTTGGGGCCTGATGGACCAGGCAGGCCCTGCTCACCCTTCCCTCCCTGTGGATGAGACCAAAACAGGTGCTGGGACCAGAGGGGGCACATGAGAACCTCCCCACTCTGATCTCCACCCATCCACCCCACATGGGTGTGGAAATGAGCACAACCCACCCTAACCCCCACCACACGCACAGCACATGGATTCCATATGCATTCAGCCCAGGCCAAAAGGCTGTATCTGGCCATCTATAGTCTCATGCCGAGGGAATCTCTCTCCCCCCACTCCTGCTCAAGCACACTAGCTTACACACACCACACCCAGGGGTACAGGGACACGTGCATGGACACAACCATGGAGCAGCAGAAACCCATGATGGTGCGTGTCCAGCTGCCTGAGTTCAAATCCTGCTCCCACCACTTTAGTCTCTGACTCAAGTCATATGGCCTCTCTGAGCCTGTTTCTTCACCAACAGGGTTCATGCCAGCACCTACCTCAAGGTGTGATGCTACAGGAAGAATATTCAGCACAAAGCCTGGCACTCACTCTCCTGGCACTCAGCACTCACATCAAGAGTTAGATCACATCCTCAGGCACACACAAGCTCACATTTGCATGCATGCGGCCTCCGCATCACTCACAAGCTCTGCTGTCCTGTCGAGTATATGAGTTCAGCCCTCAGTACCACTAGAGTAGGGTGCACACATGCAAACATGTGTCCAGAGATGCATGTAGCCACATGCACGTACAATCACTCTGACATGCCCGGTCACACACGTGGGCACAGCTCGGTCTCAGTCTTCCCTGAAGTGAAATGATAGTACCCACCCCACAGGGTACTTGAGGGAGTTCAGGTCATAGATGTACATATGTGTGGCCCAGGGCCTGATGTGCAGCGGGGACTCTGAAAAGGGCAGTTCTTCACATTCTTATACACACCCAACACCCGCTCTTCCCAACACACACGTCTAATCGCCACACACACATATGCAGGTTTGGGTAGCCCTGATAGAAACACAGCCATGGGGTCACATGCTGTAGGATGGGTTGGGACCACCGAAGAGGGCAGGAGTGTCCTGCTCTCCATCCGGGACTGACCTTGAGGCCAGAGGGACCAATTGTGACCTGAGGGGACAGAGGAGAGAGCATTATACCTCAGGGGGGAAAGGAAACCAAGGGTCCAGGGACAACAATCTATTTAGCCAGGGTCACACAGCATGGGGGCAGGACCGACAGACTGAACCCCAGCTGTTGCTCGCCTCCCAGGCCAACCAGGGGGCTGTCGTTGTATCGAGTGGGGGCTGTCAAACTTGCTGAGGGGTCTAACCTACCTTCTCTAAACCTGCCTGGCTTTGACTAGCTCCACCCCTCAGTTGCTAGGATAACATGGCTGTTCGGTTGCCACGGTAACCCCTGTATATCTGGGGACTATCAGAGTTATCAGATTTGGTGGGGGACAGAATGGAAACAGGGGCAGGCAGCAGAGGGGGTACTTCTGATGTCCCCCAAGGGTCTTGGAGCTGAGGTTGTAGCCTTTGTGGACCAATGAGACTTGTCAACTCAGAATGTCAGGCCTTGATAAAGTGGTGACTCATGCTGCTTATGGAAGAGGCACAGTTGGGCACCAGCTGGGCTTGCACTGAGTCCCTCTCCCTTATCCTTCTGGACCCCAGAGGGAGGGTGGGTCAGGGCCAGCTAGAGATGGATAGGAGGGGAGGCCTGTACCAACACGTGTTTGTGGGGCCAGTGCTGGGCTGGTCACCCTGAGCCCTTTCCCTCTCTGAAGATGATGTGTGAGGCCCTTGAGCAAAGCAGGCCTGTATCCCGGTGCAGTGCAAAGCTGGGTCCTGATCCTCCCGGTCACCAGCCCATTCCCATTCCACCCGGGATCCGCATACACTGCCCCGATCACAGGGCATGAAGCTCCTTCCATGGAGCCCTGGCTCAGTGAGGGTGGGGGTGGGGTCAAGCGCAGCTCTGGGAGATGGGCAGGGAGGGAGTGCGAAAGTGCACAAAGACCCGCTTGTCTTTAATCAGGAAGCTGTCAAGCAAACCTCTAAGCAACACCCACTCCCAGCCAGTGCCGACCCCCAGCCAGTGCCCACCCGACCCTGCACATCTTCTATTCACTCACATTGCTTTCCTGGGCACCGTGGGCACAGGGTGGGCACTGAAAGGGAAGAACAGGCCAGAAGGTCAGTTCTGAGAGCCCAGGCCCAGCCTGCCCTACCCCATTCCGCCCCACACACACCAAGCACGCAGAACATCACATATGTTCTGGGTGGAATCTGAGAGAGCATGAAGATAGGAATCCTAGCCAACAAGCCTCGTCCCTTAATTCCTACCCACCCAGAGCCACGTCATTTCTCAGATGAGGAAACTGAGGTCCTGAGGGTAAGAGCAGTGGACTCTGGGTCACACAGCATGTCAGAGCAGAATGAGGCCCATAATCTGGGGTCCCTTGGCCAAGGCCTGGGCTTTCCCCATGGTTCCCATGGCCACTTGCTGTCACCTCAGCCAGAGTGTCCAGGGCTAAACCCTATCTCCCGCCCCCTTAAGGAGAGGCAGTGGGCAGACAGGGCCCAGTGGCGAACCCCAAGGAATGCTGGGAGCTGTGTAGCCATTTCACACCCCCATGCCTGGGCTCTGGTGCCCCAAGCCTTATCCAAAGGGTTCATGCTGGCACCTCCTCAACCGAGCTTTTTGCCAGTCTATGTGGGAGGCTTACCTCATCGGGAGCTATCTCCTGGTGGGCCTGGGAAGAGGGAGGGGATGGGGATGGACAGGGAATGGAGAGGATGAAGTACTGCTTCTCACACCCCTGCCCAAGAACCACCAGGAGCAGGTACCCTCCATGGTGCCGGGTACTGTGTGTCTCACTCCCATTCACCCTTCCTTCTCAGAGCAGACACCTATGTGTCTTAGCAATGTCCAGGAGTGGGGGCAGGTAGGAAGAGCGTGGGAGTGGAGTCTCTTATGCAAGGAGTTTACAGAGGGCATGGAGGGCAGACTGAGGGCACCGTGGGCTCCTCCCCCCACCCACCGTCTCTACCTTTGTTCTCCTTTCTGCATTCTGGCTGATTCTTCCTGCCAGCTGGGCATCCACCTAGGCAGACAGAGTGAAGGGAAACTTTTGAGGAGGGGGCAGCTCTGGGACCCACGCTGGAAAGGGGTACTCAGGCAGAGGCATGGACCCCAGGTACCCCTTCAGCCTGATATCTGGCACCTCCCAGGACATCAAGACCCTGTTCAGGCCCCTGGCATCCCACAGACCCCCTCCTCCTCCTTTTCCCCCTACCCACGTGATGTCGGAGAAAACAAGGCCATGAATCAATGAGATCCTGTGTTCCTGTAGCCAAAGGCTGGGCACAATGCCCAGTGGGCAAGGGAGGTTGCCCAGCCAGAGGGTGGGGCTAAGAGAGGAACTGGGCTTCCCTGCTACCCCTAAAGAACCTGCAAATGAGCAGGGCAGCTGGCCATGGTGCTGGGCGCAGAACCAGCCTGGCATTGGCCTGGGTTGGGCCCAGGAGAGTGCGCCAACCGCGAGGGGAGCAGTGTGGCCTGGCCTCCTGCCCCAGGTACCCCCGTCCTGGAGAAATTGCCTTTGGGTACAAGCCTCATCCTGCCCTCACCAGGAGGCTCTGGGGCAGCATCAGTGAAGGTCTGGGTAGTGCCAGATCTAGATGGGCACAACTCAATGCCGCAGGCAGGCACAGGGTCAACCAGCAGGTTGGCTTTCTGCCTCTCTAAATCCTATAGGATGGGTACACAGAAAGGCAGTGCCCTCTGTGCCCCAGGCACAGCTGATCCTGGGGGCAGGCTTCAGCAAGGTTGGGAAAGGGGCAGCCTCACCTTGTCTACCTATGCCCACACCTGTCTTCCCTGCCCACCCACCTTGCTGGTTTGAGGTTCCTCCAGGCAGAAGCAGCGGGTGTAGACCTTGCCCTCAGTCTGTGGATTGATCTCGATGAGCTCATTGCTCTGGGTGTCCCGACGGGCCTTGGAGGTCTCTGGAGGGCACTGCCCAGTGTGGGGGAAGGGCTGGGTTCAGTACAGAAGGCAGACTGCCCCCCGCAACCCCCGCTTATCCTAAGATCTCTAGGCACCCACTTCCTGGTTCCCATCTCCAGCACACTGTGCCCCTGGGTAGTGCCCCAACCCACTCTCTCCCGACTGTGTGGCGGCCAGGCCACTCACCCCTCCTGGTAAAATCTCACAGCAGCCCTCCTCGAGCACAAGATCTGGGTCACAGTAGATGTGCGCCTGCTGAAGGTCAAACTGCAGGGGACAAACAAGTCACCATCACTTCATTGTAGCAAATAGCTCCGTATCCTGGCCCCCCGTGAGGCACAGGGATGGCTCTACCCCGGGAGTTTCTAGCCTGGCCTCGGAGACCATCAGGAAAATAGCTGTCACCAAAAGGAAAACAAACTGCGTGTGCAGAAAGAGGGAAAGGAGGGAGAAATGTTCACTTTGGCCCAGAGAAACAGGGAAGGAAGAGGCTCCATTCCAGCTGGGCTTGAAAGATCAGTAGATATTCAAGAGATGGGTATGCAAGGAAGGGCATTCCAGGTGGAGGTCACAGCACAGGCAAAGGCATGGAGGTGTGACGGTACTAGGTGAGGCGGACGGCTGGAACGGAATTGACCAGAGCAGAGCTGCACGGGGAGAGGCAGAGGAAGGTGATGCCGCAGACATTTATAGGGAGCAGATCATAAAGGGTCTTGAACACTAGGTTAACATGTTTAGGCTGCTTCTGGAGGGTGATGCAGAACGATGAGAGGATTCTGAGCAAGGGAAGGACCTAGGCAGAAACAGACTCGAGGGAGCTCACTCAGACTCCCAGAAAGTGGGAGCAGGGGCAAGAGTCCGACCTAGCACTCACCGAGACGGGCTTGGCCTGCTCAGTGTCCAAGCCCAGAAAGACATGCCCCACAGGCCGAATGGGTTGCCGGGGCCCCAGAGGCTGAGAGGAGGCTGAGGTGCAGTCCACATGCACAGAGGCCACGCGTTCTGCCACACTCAGCAGCAGCTTGTGCCAACGGAAGTCAAAGAGCTGGGGCAGTGAGAAGATGCAGGACACAAAGTCGTTGTCGTGGCCCCGGGCCCGGAGTTCTAGGCTCTGCTCTTGTCTGTTGACTTCCAGAGAAATCTGTGTGGAGTTGGAAAGGATGCAGGACAGAGAATCAGAGCCCCAGGGCCACAGCATGGCAAAGTTAAGGGCCCTCAAGCTCATTTCACAGGAGGGGAAACTGAGGCCCAGAAAGGAAAGAACACTGTCTGGGGTCACAGCAGTGCATCCTTCCAGAAAGAGATAGATGCTGGTGGGGGGGGGTGGCCTCGAGGGTGGGAGCAGAGAGGCCCCAGAAACCCCAAGCTGGGACAGAAGCTGGGCTGGGCTGGTACTGCTCTCAGCCCCAAGAGCAACAGGGGAAGGAGTGCAGCTCACCTGTGGGTACCCATCTCCATCGGTCACTTGAAACAAGTACCATGTGTCCTGGCGGGTGTGCTTCTTCAGCAATACGGTCAGCACCAGGGCAAACTCATTGGGGAGACCCCGAGGGAATACTCGTCTGGGGACAGAGCAGGGAAGGTGCCCTGAGGCTAGGCAAGAGACCACTTAATGCCCACCCTGGGACCTCAGGACTGTTGAACCTACGCAAGGTAAGTGCACACCTCCAAACCAACACATACCTATACACGTCCATCCATTCTATAGACATTTCTTGAGTACCTACTATGTGCGAGGTGTGGGTCTGGCTGCTGGGGATGGCAATAGAGGGGACATAGAGAAGGTGCCTGCTGTCATGGAACCTTCAAGTCTGACAGGGAAGGCAGTGGGGGGAGCAAACCATAAACAAAGAATCCCCAGAATGATATTTCACCATCTCATAACAATAGTGCCAAGTGCTTCCAAGGGATTCAGGATGTCCTGGGGAGAGTAACTGGGTGCGGGGTGGGCCGGGGGGAGGAGAGACACTGAAAAAAGATGAAAACGGTTCCGTGGAACTAGAGAAGCAAGAAAGAAAGATAAACATTTTGGGAAGTGAGGCTGGAGAGGTAAGCAGAAGCCAGAACATCCAGGAACTTGTGGGAGCGTGGGCTTCACGCACAAGGGCAACATGCATGCATGCGTGTGCACACACACACACACAAAGACTCTTCCCACCCCCATCCTGGGGTCCTCATGATATCCACAGGATGCAGACCTGTCCCCAACCACTGTAAGCCAGAGGTAGAAGAGGGACAGAGTGTGGGCCTGCCAGGCCCCTCCTCTTTGCCCACCTTGCAAACCCCAGGGGTGGAGTCCAGAGGGTGGGATAAAATGACCCATAGGTGCTGGTAGGCTTAGCACCTTAACACCCAGAGTTGCTGCTGAGTGTGGCTGAGGTCAGTATTGACTCCCAGCGGTCACTTTGGGGCCTTTACCGTGTGGGCTGTGTGAGTGGGGCAGCCCCCAGCCGCAGAATGAGAGGCCCATTGGGGTTGCGGATCTTCTTGATGGCAGATGTCTTCATGAGGTTGAGTCGGCGGATGAGGTTGAAGCCTTCGGGGGAGACACCAGGTAAAGAGCTCAGCTGGACAGATGAAGAGGGGTACAGGCCACTCCAGTAAAAAGGTTGAGAGGGGACAGGGGGATGAGATCAGCACTCACCAGTCACATTGGTCGATAAGTCACTTCTGTGTTCTAACTTGAGTCCTTCTTGCTGTGAAGATGGGCACTGCTCACCTGGAAGAAACATGGGCAGCGGGGCACTTGGTGGGCTCAGGCTGAGGTAGCTGCAGAGCCAGGCTCTTGGGGATCCAGGAAGGGGTTAATAGTCCCCACTCTGGACTTTTAGCCAGGCCATGCCTTGGACCAGCTATCACATCCTGCCTTCTGACCCTGGTCAACCTGGGAGCCAGGAGGAGCATCCCCCGCCCAGTGTCCAGATGAGAAGACTGAGATCTAGCCCAAGGCTATGAAGTGAGTTCACAGTAGATCAGGATCAGAATGCCTAGAACCCAAATCCCCCACGATACCACATCAGGGACCAGGCCAACAAGAGAAAGAATGAAAGAAACTCTGGGAAGCCCTAGAACTCAGTGGGGAGATGTGTATATGCATGTAGTCCCTCCATGACATGCACCCAACTTGGGGACAGAGCACTTCAGGGGAAGGAAATGTCAGGTTCATGCACACTTGTATCACACACAAGCTTGTGTGTGTCTCTGAGCACGTGTGAGTTGTGGATGCTCGTGCCACCTGGGACATCATACGCAGCTGGTACAAGTGTTCTCAGCAATGGGTTGGGCTCTACTTCTCACCTCCAAAGCTGAAAAGCAGGCCAGACACACATCTGAATCAACAGACTGACATTTCCCCTGGATCACCAACTAGTGAAACGGCAAAAAGAGACTGTGGGCCTAAGTGGACCACAAGCTCAAGGGAACCACCATGTCCTTGGGGCTCCAGACAAGGTCTATTAAGGGAGTAAAGGTTCCTGGAGAAGAGAATAGCTTAATTCAGGTCTCCAAAACCCTGAAGGGACAGGAGAGCACCATGGGCCTGCCTCCTCCCTAGGCCTGATGGAGCAGAAGTGCTGGGAGAGGCGTTACAACAGCAGAGACAGAAGCTAGAATCGCAAAGGCCTTCCCGTCAATGCAGATGTGGTATCTGGGACAAGGCAGTGAATACAGCTCCTAGAGGCTGGGCTTTGGACTCCCTGGCTGCCTGGCTGGAAAAAGGCATCCTGGATCCCTAGGCCCGGTGACTCCACTGGAGTCTCCCTCTCCCAGGTCTGCCCAGAAAGATTATCACTGCAGCAGCAGCAGCAGCAATGGGTGACTCACCCCATGGCAAAGGGCCCAGATTCCTCGCAGATGTTGAAATTCTCTGCCCCATCCCCCAGGGAACCCAGTGAGGGGAAGGAGAGCAAGGCACATGTGTACACATGCAGAAACACATATGTGCACACAATTCACAGGCAGTCACATGCATCCAGGTGCCTACCCCTCCCGCATCAGCACGATGGTTTTCCTACCCCTTTTGACTGGCTTGGGTTCTAGGAGTTCTATTTCTACTCAGCTAGGAGACTAAGCCCAGAGGGCACCCAGCAGGGCAGGGCAAGTTGCCCGGTCAACTTCCTCTGGCTTTGGGCCTTGGAAAGCTGCACCTCTGTCTCATCCAGTGTCTGGGTTTCAAGGCGGGCCCTTTATCTGAGATCCAGGGCCAGCCGTGGTGGAGGAAGAACACGTGGGCTGGAGGATGGATTCTCCACCTCGGAAAGGATTGGAGGGGCCTGGGCCTCTTTCAGGATGCAGCTTCCTTTTGTAGAGGTTTTAATCGCCTGCTCCTCCCTACCCCACTGGCCCTACCAGCACTCTGCGCACAGAGTGGGTTAATGTATTAGGGAGGGGGTTGTTGTCTCACACACAGACATGGGAAAGTGTACAGATGCAGAGACAGGCCCAGAGACACACAAATATGCAGACATAAACACACACACACACTCTAGATCACTTCACACAGGCTCACATGCACAAACATCTCAGGCCACCCTGCGCCCAGCCCCCAGACTCTCCTATAAATGCCCACATGGCTCAGGCACATGGCCACATGGGTGCATAGGACCTGGCACCTCAGGGAGCCTGTCATAGGCCTGTGGCACCCTGATCTTCGGGTCTCATCTCACCTGTACTTGCTGCATGACTGCAGGTGGCCCAGAGACCAAGCAGCAGCCACAAGCCTGGAGCCCAAGATGCCCACATCCTGGTTCAGAGAAGCTGGCCACAGCCACAGCACCTGAAAATCACAGAAACCAGGAAGGTGGACTCCTGAGCTCCCACAGCACAATTCCGCATGTGGGCAAATAGCAGCCAGCCGGTGGGGCACAAGCACTGGTACTAGGGTGGCCAGAGGTCTGGTTGGGCATTAGTCCCTCTTGGAGGCCCAGCCACAGGCTTTGGGCTACGATTTGGGCAAGGGTGATATTCAAAATATTTAACCACCGGTATGGCATGGACACCAGCCAGCCAGAGCAGAATGCTGGCTGGAGCACCGAGAGTCCGAGCAGCATCTGACTGTGCCAGTGGAGAGTTGCTGGACTGAAGAGAGCTTTAGAAGGTCCTAGAAGGCCAGGTCGCTTGGGACAGTGAGGGGGCTTGAGGCAAAGTCTATTTATCAATATTTTATCAACCTGTGTGCTATATTCACATATAATAGCCTGGTACCTGACTAGCTGCACCCAGCTCAGGCAGGAGGCCCTGCTAGGCACCCAGAAGATCAGGGGCTGACGACTGGGCTGAGTCTGTGACGACTGGCAGGCATCACAGGGTTGTATGTGCACCAAGGAAGCTTCCCCCACAGGTACAGCTGGGGAGACAGCAGGTCACCAGGGCTCAGGACCTCGTTGCCAACCTCCAATGCTGATGGATGCTCATCTTTTAGTTTTATTAAACCCTGGATGGATGGACCCAGAGAAATCAATGCAGACTCAGCAAGCAGCCCAGGAGAGCCATACATCATCCAGCCTCCTCTGAGACAGGCAGTTTGCACGCACACACATAGAGTCATGCATGTGTCAGCATGACACACACAGTTATATACAGGCACATACACACACAGACACATATATGCCAGTGTATGCGTACAAGCCTACCTGCACACAGGCATGCTCACAGAGATCCATGTTCACCAGTGTACCCAGATACAATAGCTTGCACATACACACGTGCACATAGCTAGCCTATGAATGGCCTTCCTGCTGGGAAGTTCTTATGCAAGTCTGACCTCATTCCTTCCAGCTGTAATGGAATTCTACTTCTCCTCCCTCAGCCCTGGATAGGGAATGAGAACAGAAAGGAACCCATCACCTCAATAAATATTTTGGAGATAGGACCCTAATCCCTTTCTGCCTGGGGCAGAACTGTTCCCCATCTTATTCATCATCCCCCACTCTAGTAGTGTGTGCATCTCATCTTTCAAACCCTATCCTGGCCTCTCCCTCCTGCCAGTCAGTGGAAGGGCTGCCAACGATTCGAGACACGTGAACGCGTGTGGAGGCGTGAACATCGATGTGCTTGTATCCCTTTCCTGCTCCTGATCTCTGGCCTCCACTCCCCTGGCCCCAGCCAGAGCAGGGGCTACAGGGATAGAAGGAAGAAGCTTCCAAGGAGATGATCCCACCCAGTACAAAGGAACAGATTTGGGAGCAGGGAGAGTCAGGACTGGGATGCAGTTTAGAGAGCTCATCTGCCTGTAGAGAAAGTGATCCAGAGAAGGAAAGTCACTTACCCCAGGTCACACAGCAAGTAGGGGCAGAAGGGACACGCGGCCCAGGGCCTGGAGGCAGCCCACTGCACCCCCACCCCCCACTTACCATGGCTGGAGATCCCCCTACCTCACTTGGTAATCCAGGCAGCTCAGTGCAGCCAGCCAGGGGAAGCGGAGCCTGGGTTCCTCAGGCCCACACGGAAATCCTCGATAACTTCTGGCTGCCCTCAGGTTTCCAGCTTCCCAGGTCCTAAGCTTTTGGGGCTGAATGCTGCCCTGCAAGGCGCACGAGCCTGCCGCTGGGACTACCGGCCACTCCGGGTGGGGGAAGAGGGGGAGGTTCCAGGGGGCTGGGGACTAGCCAGGGCTGCTAATGGAACACAGCTGGACCCGCCCGCCAGGCAGGAGGAGGGCGGGAGGGCCGGGAGGGGGCTCGGCATCGGCACAGGCGGCAGACGGATGCACAGCCCCGTTCCTGGCCTGGCTGTCCTCCCAGGCCCGCCCTCCCAGTTCCCGCCAGGTGAGCCAGTCAGCCAGCCAGTAAGGCGGGACCCTGCGTGCCCAGAGCTGCCCTGAAAGGGGGCTCTGGGGGCAGGCGGGTGAGTGGGGAGGCCGGCCCTTTAAGGGCCAGGCCTGGAGCTGGAAGGGCCTCCCCTGTGCCACCCGCTTCCCTTTTCCAGGCTGGGCCTCCAGATGGCTGGGGTATGGGGTGGAGACCCTCCCCCCAAGTTCTATGGCACCCATGACGTGGCTGTTGCCCAGGCCTTCCTGGTCAGCCTTTTCCTGTTTTTTGGCCTAACGTTTCCAGTTAGTGTTTCTAGGTTTGTATGAATTGGGGCGAGAGCGCCGCTCCGAGGATGGCCCCCGAGGAAGCGGGGGGGGGGGGGTTTAATTAACCCCTTCTGCTCGGGCCTCTTTCCCTTATTCTTCCTTACTCCAGGAGATTAGAAGGGCTCCAATCCCTGTCCCCTGCTCTGTGGCTTCAAACATGTTGTTTAGCTTGGACTCCATTTTCTCATTTGGAACATAGAATAATGAATGACCTATATGCCGTACAGGGTTGTTGTGAGCAGGAGACGAGTTAAAGTCTGTAAAAATGCTTACTGCAGGGTCTGGCACAAGAGAGGAGCTCAATAAATATTCACTGTTATAATCGTTATTATTGCAAACCAGGCAGGAGGTGGGGGTGGGGTGAGGGGTGATGCTGGGATTCAAGTGTATACCCAGCGATGGAGAGGCGTTGCTTTATATTCACGATCCAAGAAAGCAAGAGCAATTGAGGTCGGAGGAGAGATTGGACTTCTGAGGAGAAAAGAGCAGGTAATGTGCCCAGTCTGTCCAGAGGCAGGGGAATGATCAAGGTGATCCTTCCAAGGGTTTCCCCCGGGAGGCAGCAAATTTGGGGGCAGCAGGAGCTACAAAGAAGTTCTCAAGGCCCATGAGTGGTAGGAATGGGTGTGGGGGTGAGAGGCAGCAACTGGAATGCTCTGGTTTGGGGGGCTTCCTATTGAAGCAACATGGCAGAGCCCTGGCCCAGCGGCCCCATCTAACCCGCCTCTGGAGCCAGAGGCGCTGAGTCAGTGGAAACCCCAACCACGGCCACAGAGGCGCCCCCGCTGTGGTCCCTGCATGGAGCCAGCCCAGATGTGGCTACGACAGTGGTGCGGCCTGGGAATCGCTGAGCTCAGCATGTGGGAAGTGGAGGGGGTGGAGCTTTCTGGGGGCTCTGGCCCGAGGGGTGGGTAGGCACAGGCCCAGCTTGGCCACAGGGGGCTGCCCTGGTGGTGGGCACTTGGGAAATAATAGGCAACACAGCTAGGTCAGGCTCCTTTCGTCCTCACAACCACCCCAGCAGGGAGAACTCGATTCTTATCCCCATTTTACAGATGGGGAAACCTGGAGCATAGGAAAAATACAACTGGCCCAGGATCACATGGTTAGCATGGTCACATGGGTAGTTGGGCAGGGACCCACGGCCAGCTAGCCTGGACCCACAGCGTAAGTTCTTAACCACTGCGCCATCCTGGGCAACTCCTGCCCTCCCCCCATTCATACTCCAGACTCTCCCCAGCAAGAGGGGATGTCTGGACCCAGAGCTGGAGAGGCCTGAGAAGCGGGAGTCCAGATACCTTCCAACAGCACCCCAAGGTGCTTACCAAAACAGCCAAGCCTGGGGTACATTCGAAACCTGGATACCCTATCCTAGACACAGTCTAGAAATGTGCCCGTGCCCCCTCCTCCCACTGACACGTAGGTACATACATCCAGCAGTGTGCATGCAGTCAGATACGCTCTCTCACGACATACGTGTGTAGACTCCACATGTATATGGAGGCACCTATGCTCATACAGACACATGTATACACATAATACTCCATCACATAAACAGACACACAGAGACATAGACTCAAACCCAGGTGCATAATTCTCAGAATGCATGCACACAGCACTGCAGGTACTTGTGTATGCACATATGCATGTACACACAGACATGTACATGCACAAAATACAGCCAGAAACACACACATGTGCCCACAGGCATAATTACTCATATAAGCAAGCAGAGAAACTTGCAGACCTACAGCACATACACAGGTAACCATACAGATACAAGTGGCTCTCACAGAAACCCCCACTCAGACATGCACACATGTACACACATGTATGCCTGCAGGGAGGCTGACACATTGCATTCATTCAGTCCCAGAAAGCCCTGCACGCCAGCAAGCAGGGTATCCCCAGGGGCTGGGCTCATCACCCTCACCCCAGATGCATTGCCACGAGGTAATCAACACTGCTAATCACCAACAGCTGCCCTGGAGCCTGCCTGCCGCTGCCGGGAGGGGTTACCAAGGCGTCCTGGGCCTGGGGTAGCATGCCCAGATGTCGGCAGTGCTCAAGGGCCAACCCACCATTCCGCCCCAGCTGGCCATTGGGGAATCCCTATCTGGCAGCGGCAGCCCCTGGGGCTGGAGGGAAGTGAGAAGCCAAGACAGGGCCTGGTCCCACATGAGGCCCAGGAGCCCCCATGCAGCCAAGCAGAGCTGGTCTGAAGCCCCATGTGCACGCGCACACACCTGGGCCCTAGCGTAGGCGCACACACACAAACACTCAGGCGTTTTGCACATTCAAAACAGACCTCTTGATTATTTCTTGATTATTTCCCCACAGATCTCTTTCTCCCGTCTACCTCATTCTAGTAGTAATTCACTTGGATGTTCAGTCTGAAAACCTAGTCATCATTGGCTCCTTCCTTTCCTCTACCACCCCCACTATTCTATCAATTCTACCCCAAAACACAGCCCGCATCCCCCCACTGCTTTCCATGCTCACCCAAGCCACCACCGTTTTTTGCCCCGATTGTGCAGGAGCCCCCCAACCTCCACTTCCCACCCAGCAGCCATCAAGACGTCCCCAAACCCAGAGATGTTGATTTCACTATGCTGCTTTAATTTCCGGGTCTCATTTCACTCACAGTACAAGCTAAAATCTTCCCCTTGGCCTTACCAAGTCCTTTCTGTCCAGCACCTCAACCCGGAAGCTGCGGTCCCGCTGGCTCCTCAGTCCTGAATTTGCCAAGCTAGGTTCCTCTACGGGGCTTTTGCACCAACTCTTCACTCCTCCTGGAAGGATTTGTCCCTGACTCTTGCTAGGCTGACTCTCTGACAGGTTTCACCTCATAAGTCACCTCCCCAGAGTGGCCTTCCCTGACCACCAGATCGAGAGGAGCCCTAAGTCGCTTGCTATGACATGACTCCGTTTGAAATCTCTGCATAGCTCTGGCACGTGTTTGTGTGTTGTCCTCTACTAAGAAGCAAGAGGCTCCACGAGGGGCCCTGTCCACTAGTGCTCACTGCCCTACAGCTGAGCCCGGTACCCCTGGGAAATGAGCATCCACTGGGGAATTAGTGGACCGATGTACACGAGCACTGTCCACGGTCTGAGCTCAGACACAGACGTGCGCCCACTGGAAGTGTGACATGCA